CCGCCCCCCCCCCCCCCCCCCCCGCCCCGCCCCCCCCCCCCCCCCCCCCCCCCCCCCCCCCCCCCCCCCCCCCCCCCCCCCCCCTCGATGGTCTGCACAATTGAAGGCTGCCTGGGATTTTGGCTAGATGGTTGAAGAAGTTGTGGTCGGGGGGAACTGAAACTTGTTTCAACTCAACGGCAAACAGTCAATTGCTTGTTGCAGGCAGGCTTGCTGCACGATAGTTTGTAATTGATGAGTTCATGATATCTTGCCCTCATCTTACCAACTTTCTAACCACAATTAATTAACGTTTGGTACCGGTGGTCAAACCATTGCCTCCCAAGCCGCATTCACTAGATGCCATCGGATATGTGTCCGAGGTTAGAATGACGCTGTCTCGGCCCCGCCATGCCGTGATCGGCCGGCTCTTTATACATGCATGGGTCGACTACATGGCCTAGCTCACATGCTTTATTCCCATAGCCCGATATTTCTCCTCCGTACTAGTGGCGTCAGCTTTTATGGTAGAATTCTAGGGACATTCAGTTAAATTTTGACACCCACCATCCCAATTGGCTCAGTATGAAGCTGTCTAAAGTCATATCGACAGCTGGGAGAGGCTCTCGAGCTCTCGGCGGCCCGAACTCAGCCTTTGTGCGACCTCTCTCGTCCACGGCCGCCACTAGCACCAAGGGCCTTGCCTGCTCAAGAACGACAACGAGGCCGCAACAAGCCCAATCAACGCATCTTCGATCTTGCAATCATCCACGACCCCCCACATCGCAAAGCCACAGATCTTATGCTTCCTCCTCCTCGTCCGACACGCCCCTCAGTAGAACAGCCCTTTATGATATTCATCTCGCCCACGGCGCCAAGATGGTGCCCTTTGGCGGCTTTGAGATGCCCGTGCAATACGCCGGACTGGGCGTAAGCGCTTCCCACCACTTCACGAGAGAGAAGGCATCGCTGTTCGACGTGGGCCATATGGTGCAACATTGGTTCGAGGGGCCAGGTGCAACGGCCTTTCTACAACGCATCACACCAGGAAGTCTGGCAAGCCTCCCGGTTCATCAGAGCACGCTCTCCGCGCTCCTATGGCCAGGAACAGGCGGCATCGTCGACGACACCATCATCACCCGGCTTGGGCCTGAACGGTTCTACGTTGTGACCAACGCAGCCTGCCGGGAAAAGGATCTCGCTTACCTCAAGGAGCAACTGGCGACATGGGACGGCCCCGGAGTTCGCCATGAAGTCCTCGACGGCTGGGGTCTGATTGCCCTGCAAGGGCCGCTCTCGGAGGAGCTGCTTACCCAGATCCTGGAAGACCCAGCGGTCACGAAGCTGCACGAGCTTTACTTCGGACAGTCGTGCTTCGCCAACATCAAGGGCGCCAAGGAGCCCGTGCTCATCAGCCGCGGGGGCTACACGGGCGAGGACGGCTTCGAGATCTCCATCAACCCGGCAGACACAGTTTCCGTGACCGAGACGCTGCTCACTGCCGCGGGACCTGAGAAACTGCAGTTCGCCGGCCTCGGGGCGCGCGACAGCCTGCGGCTGGAGGCGGGTATGTGTCTATACGGACACGACCTCGACGACAAGACGACGCCCGTCGAGGGCGCGCTGGGCTGGATCGTTGGCAAGGACCGCCGGACGCCCGCGTCCGACGCCGACAAGTTCCACGGCGCCGACGTCGTGCTCGCGCAGCTGACGCCCAAGAGCAAAGGTGGTAGCGGCGTGTCGAGGCGGCGTGTGGGACTCACGGTCGAGGGTGCCCCGGCGCGTGAGGGCGCAGAGATCGTGGATCCCAGCAACGAGGGCGAGAAGATCGGGGTTGTTACCAGTGGGTGCCCTAGCCCGACACTGGGTAAGAACATCGCCATGGGCTATGTCAAGGACGGCTTGCATAAGGCTGGCACCGAGCTCCACGTCCTCGTCCGTGGACGCCCACGCAAGGCCGTGGTGACGAAGATGCCCTTTGTGCCGGCGAAGTATCATAAGGTGCCTGCGTAGGCTTCCTGGTCGGAGTTGGTTTGTTCGATTTTGCATATTCATATAAAGATTCCGAGCTTGCGGGAAGAAAGGAGAGGGGCTGAAAGTCTTTGCATGTTACGAGTATAGTATGACGAGGGGCGAACTACTACTTGTGTAGCCGTACCTAAGTTCGGCAAGGTTCTATGTTTTATCTAGTACACGGCTCCCCGAACTTCTTTGGATATTTTGTGCTACAGGGCTTGACGGCGGAGTAATAGTGGCTGCAGGAGCAGCAGCCTGTATTTTTCAACATTGCACACGATGTCGTTGTTTAACGGGATGGAAAGAGTACGACACAGGGGGAGTTAACAAAAAGGATGACTCGCATTAGATACCCTCAACGAAGATCTAGGTAGTGAAGATTATTTTACTTGGTTTCTTATCATCGAGAGCCATCTTTCTAGCTTCTCCTGGCTTGTTACCGAATTATAGGCTTCTTGAAAGAGTGTGAAAGGTATTATCAATGTCCATTTAATCTTTATCTAGTAACCGGTATAAAGCTTAATCTTCTGTAAGTCATATGGCAAACCCAATTCGCAACCTGGTATCCGACATTGCTTGCTTGCTTGCTTTAGTAGATTGCTGTACTACGTCACTCCTTAGCTCAACGGCACCCCTATTCTATCCCATTACACCTCGCCCAGGACGTCCAACCGAATCTCTTTTGCAATGACCCACCACCCCGCGGCCTCGATAATCTGGCAAACAACCTTGAGCTCGTCCCTTGTTCGCGGGGCATAAACCATGGTGAACTGGCGAGGAACGGGCATCTTGAAAAGAAAGCAGCGACTGGTAAGGGGATGACGCTGGCCCCAGCCCTTCTCGATGACCTCCTTGGCGTCTTCCGAGTGCAGATTCAGATGCAGCGAGTGATCCGAGTTATGGACATGGCAGATCTCGCCTTGGCAGGTGTTGTTGACGGGATATCGGGAGAACAGACCGAGGCCATGCTTCTCGAAACATGATGTTCCGATGCCCATCTCCTCGGTATGGACTCGGCCGTGATTCTCTAGAATGCGGCGAAGAGCAAGATAGCACTCTTTCGAACCGAACTGGTTCACCTGCCGCTGAGGAGCGATTCCGACAACGCGAGGCCGTGGTCCACATCGATATGGTAGGGGCTTCTTGGCTAGGATCCCACTCGCCGGCTGCGCTGCCTGGTCAGAGGGTAACGGCTTGAAAGGGTCGCGGAGCGCCCAAAGCTTTAACCAATTGATGCGAACGTAACCGGTAAAGGTTGACGGTGTGCCGCCTGGTCCAAGTTTGATAAAGTTTTGGTAGTCATTGTGCACAAAGAGGACTATCGTGGCGAGTCCAATTAACACAGCGACTGTGACCGGCTGTAGGAATTGGATGGCGAAGATGAGGGAGGCGGAAAGGATGAAGATCGTTGGCCCATCGAGGGTGACAGTAAGTGAGTCCTGCCTTATGGTCACACTGAAGTATTGAGGTGTATTGTTTTCTGTGGGAAGGGACTCGGTAATTACAGATTGGGTGCTGAGCACGTTCGCTTGGGTTAGAGATGTTGCCATAGTTGGCTATATCTTCTATTATATAAGCTGATAGGTTGCTAGGAAGAAGTTATGAATGGAGGGGTGACATGAGCTATCTTTCGTGAACTCAACTAGCATTGAAGGGCCGACAGATATGTTGTGAGACGGTATCTTAGGTAGGTAACTAAGATTCACGCGAGAGGAACGGGTAATAGTGATTCAGAAGAAGGTGGTGAGTTTTTCAAGCCTGTCTAATAACACTCTAGGTATGTCTCGTACCTTGCATACAGGTAAAAATCAGTTGTGTGTGCCGTCCGAAAAGCGCCCTTTTATGTGTGTAAAATTCCAGGGGTCCTCCCAGCGCACGCCTCTCCTGCACGGGGAGGTCAAGTGACGATGCTTGTACATCTTGGTCGGGCCTTGATGGTGAGCGATGACCGGCTCAGTGATGTCAAGCCAAGTGTGATTGGGCCATTTTGTAGACCAATGATGTTTGTATGACAACTAGCAAAGCAACGATCACCGATGAGACTCGGCTTCAGGTCGGGGAGCCACCGCTAACCAAACGGTTCCGTGCCGTCTGTCTAATCAGATCGGTTGCAGCATGTCCGGTCATTTTGTCCAGTATTCGAGTCATTCACCTTGGTCTTGATTGTTGCTGTGACCAGCTTTCTCGTGGACAAGAACATGGTTTGCATACCATGTTAGTCTGCAACGCCAAATCTGTCAAGCAAATGAGTGTTAGACAACCCATAAGCCGGCTGCAAAACCCTTGTTCAGGGTATCCAGGATGCTGGTGATATCCGGGGCAGGTGCCGGCGAAGTAGCAGCGGTTGACAGGATTTGTTGTTCGGCTGCATCGTGGCCCGTTCTTCGGAGCACCTGGTCGAGGGCAATGGTAGTTGTTGGGCTCAATCTAGACCAAAGCAGCCATGGACGGGCTGCGTTCTGTGAGTGGCCGCTGAACAATTTCGGGCCCAATCGTCGGCGGCTCACGATGCGGTGACAGCGAAACTAAGGCATGACCCTGCAGCGAGCCTCTCCGGCGGTCGGTACCAATCAGAGAGGTTGTATTGAACGAGTTGACCTAAACGGACAAAGGTCGACTGTTACGGCGTGTCGTTGGGTAGTGGGAGAAACGCAGGGCGGGTGTTCCCCGGGACGAGAAGAGAGATGGTTCGATATAGAAGCCGGAACTCCGCAAGCGGCAGCAAAGGTCGTGGCATCGCACAGAGATGGGGTGATGGAAGGGTGCACTTCTATGCCAGGCAAGGTCGCGTGAGCTGTCAATCTTTTGGTCAGTGGATTTCTGCCTCGTTCGCCATGAACGAATGAGGTATGGATGACCAAGTTTGTCACACCACATGCACGATAAAGAAATCTTCAGTATTATCTATCGACGAGCTAGCCCGGCTACAGATTACGGGTACGGACCAGACTTCGTTCAATGCTGCCGACACATTTTGATCTTCACTTCAGTGTACTTCGTATAAGTGCAAAGCATGGTGGCGAAGAGAGTCAGTCAGTGAAATCTTTGAATAGACAGGTGATATTATTGCCTGAGCAGACTGAGTGTCTTGAACACCTCAGAGATACCCGACGACCCATTACGTAGAGGACACACTGCTGTACAGGCATTTGCTGTTGGAATCCGATGATGTTGGTTCAGATATCTAGAACCAACTTGTCGTCGTCTACTTACCTAGGTAGGAACAATGCCGCACAGAGGTCGCACTCCCCCATCCACCTCGCCGAAGCGAAATTGTCTACAACAACCACAACCGATATTAACACCGATATGTACCTACTTAGTCCGTACTTATGTAATTCTATTGGAAGGAGTCCCTTGGCTGGCCTAAGTGTACTACCGGAATCTATCTATGTACCTAAGTATGGATGCAAGTACTTAGGTAGGTATTATGTAAGTCCTATAAGTACTACCTACACTACTACGTGTGCCTGTAACTTGGAGTGGACTTATACAGTATACATCAATACTTAATTAAACATCTGCGAAGGCAGGAGTGTGCCTACCTTGTACGGTTATCTGTGTGGAAAATACATATCTATGTAGGTTGGCTAGAAGAGGCAGAGTCTGACCAGATAACCTACCTACAAGATAGGTAGACACTTACAGAAAAAATTTCTATAAAGGAGAGCAATGTCGATCATAGGATTCGCAAGCCTGTCCTCTCTGGCCTGTCGCTTTCGGCTGGGGGCTCTCTCTGCTCCCTCCCCCCCCCCTCCACATCGGGCTAGACGGCATTGGCCGCCGTTACGCGTTTTGGCCACAAGCCTTGGCCGTTGCTCATGGCAATGGGACCAAGTCGCATTCGCGGGCTGTGAATGGTTGCATCGGGGCGGTTGTTGATGGGTGGGGGCTGACGGTGGACACGCTTGACATGCCTTCCCCTGCTCTGCCCTGGCCACCCCCGGTCCGCCGCCCTCCTCTCTGCCTTTTCTTCCAATGACGATTGATGAAAGCAGCTGCACATGCTGTGCTCTGCTCTGTTCCTCATCCAGCCTGTATAAGTGAGGTAGTATTGATTATCCCTATCCCGACAACCCATGCCAAACTTGTTTTCGTGCTACCTACGTCTAGTGTATCTATTCATCTATCTTTCCATCCATCCGTCTGTCTTCCGCTGTTCTCGCATTTCACAAGAAACTGAGACCTTGGGCTTCGCTATTGTTGACCTCTCTACACTTGCTCGAGTAATGTTCATGTCCGTCCACGCCATCATTGTCTTGCCGGTCTAGCTGCCATCGCAATTTCGTCGTCATCGATTTGCCGCTATCAATATCAACAACCCCTGTCTCTCTCTCCTATACAACCAAGAGGACCCCAGAGCAACCACAACACTGAGGAGTATTTACCTAGTCAACACGGTTCGTACGACCTAGATAATCTGGCCATCATCTGCTCGTTCATTTCTTCGCCTTCTGACACGGCCGCGCAATAGCTTCTCGCCGTGCCTCATCATGGCCGGCCGCATGCCCTGGAGTTCGGGGGGGCGTTCGCGCTATGCTCGCCATTCCAAGCTTCCCATGTACGAGAAACCTCGCACGCCGAGCGGAGACCGCCTGAGCAACGATTCTTACGACGACTCCGACTATGACGAATATTCCAGTACATCGTCGCCAGAAACAAGTAACTCATTTCATAGCTCCACCACTTCATCCCTTGCTGTCCCCATCTTGTCCAAGCGACGCCTAGCAGTCCCAAGAGCCTCGGGGCGACCATACTTTTACCGTCTGCCGAACAGGGTCATCCGATACCTGTGTTTCGGTCTGGTGTCATTCATCATTCTAATGATATTAACACTGGCTCGGGCGAGCCACAATGAGAACAAGGCTCTTGTCGAAGGCAAGATAGAGAAGCCGCCGCCGCCCCCTCATGTGTGGGAATCTTATCCTTTACTCCTGAGATATTATGGTGGAATAAGAAATCTGATTCCAGCTGCCCAAAACAAACCAGAATATCCACGCGCTGAAGATGAGGTGCCCCTGGATAAGCTGGCGTTCGTCCCGGGCGACCAGAACTCTGAGGATGCTGAATCCCAGAGACGGGCCATGGCCTCGAGCAAAGAATTTCTCGCTCACCCTCAGAGTGTTTTCAAAACCACACCTGAAACCATGAATGAATGCTTTCTAGATATGGAACGGAAAATAAGGGTGCCGCCAATCCGCTATTACGATGGGGTGCCTAGTGGCTTTCCAGATGCTGCCCTAGGCTCTCATGAGCTTTTTGACTTTCCTAAAGAAATATGTTTCGAGCGCTATGGGAGATACGGGCCTTACGGTCTCGGCTACTCTGCCAGATCTGGCGGTCTTGGCGCTGGAGAGCACGGTGATACGGAGGGCTTCGAGTCTACATGGGAAAAAGTGCCTCGGGTTGATTGGAAGTCAATGAACTGGGCTGAGATTCAACGACAATGTTATCAAGCAAATTCTGCTCGCTACAAACCTCTACCACCAAGACAACCCATGCCACATGGCTTCTTCATCGATGAGAACAAGATTCGGAAGGGCCTCAGTGCTCGCGACATCACACTCGACGAATCCTCGCTTCCTGAGACCGTAAATATCCAAACCAGCAAGCCTACGGGGGAGCCTCACATAAAGGACAAGCCCAGCAGTACTAAGGATAATGCTCCGGCTCTGCCTAGGACAGCTATTGTTGTACGGTGCTGGGACGAGTTTCTATGGAGAGAAGAGGATGTCATGAATATGCGCTCCCTAATAACTGAAATGGTATTAGCTTCAGGTGGTCGCTATGATGTGCACCTACTGGTTCAGGTCAGGAATGATGCAGCTCATCCGATTTGGGCCGATTCGGATACCTATCGCCGTAGAATCGAGGAAGCCATACCTGCAGAATTCCGGGGGATAGTCACACTGTGGACAGAGACTCAGATGCTGGCCCTCTACCAAGGTATATATGACCTTTGGACCAAGGGGCCAGGACTACCTGTACATGGTGTCTACCGCGGCTTGCAGATGGCCATGCAATACTTCGCCTATCAGCACCCCGAATATGATTATTATTGGCAATGGGAAATGGACATCCGTTACACCGGTCACTACTACGACTTGTTCTCGAAGATGGAAAGATGGGCAAAAGAGCAGCCACGAAAGGGACTCTGGGAACGAAATGCCCGATTCTATGTGCCCTCTGTACACGGGTCATGGGAGGACTTCAAGCAAATGGCTAGGGTGCAGAGCGAAATGGGAGTCAAGGGGTCTGACAACGTATGGGACGGTGTCCCTGGTACAGAAAAAGACCAACAACAGAACCGTGGTGACAAGCTCATTTGGGGTCCAGAGCGACCCAAAGACCCAAAAGATTGGCTTGATCCCGACAATGATCCCACGCCACCAACTAGCTACGAAAAAGACAAGTACGTTTGGGGAGTGGGTGAGGAGGCAGACTACATCACCCTGAACCCGTTGTTCGATCCTGAACACACCTCTTGGGCTCTCGCAGACGACATTACTGGCTATAATGAGGGCGATGGGAATGGCAAGCCGCCACGTCGTGTCCACATAGTTGCGGCCTCGCGCATGTCACGTCGTCTCCTGCTAGCAATGCACAAAGAAACTGCTTTCTTGAAGCATCATGCCTTCCCTGAAATGTGGGCAGGAACTGTTGCCTTGCAGCATGGGTTCAAGGCTGTGTTCGTACCGCACCCACTTTATGTTGACCGCGAGTGGCCAACTGAATATTTAGCGCAAACTCTCAATAATGGCAAGAATGGCGCCAGCGGCGGTTCTCGTTCTTCGGTCTTTGGCGACCGCGAACATAACCTGGAAGGATTGACCTGGTTCTATCGCTCCGCGTTGTCGCCCAATCTCTACAATAGATGGCTTGGTCTCTCGGTCAATAACGTTGGCGGCGAGGAATTCGAGCTGATTGTTGACGAGAGCAAGAATGGGACTAGCATAGAAGAGATGCGCGGTGGCGAAGGTCGTATGTGTCTACCACCTATGCTGATCCATCCGGTGAAAGACGTAGAGCTTCCCGTCGAGGAGCAGCAGTTGCCAGAGGTTGAGATCCCAGAGTCTGATCCGGCCGCCTAGCAGGAATGAACCTAAACGTAACTGGTTTACATTACATAGCATTAATGGTTCCTAATTTGGGTCTCACTCGGCGTCGCGGATACATATATGCCATGGTCAGGCACATGAGGCGTTGGCGGGTGTGATTAGGCGCTCGGGATACCTCTTTTTGCTTATTCTTTCTTTATCCCTCTCTCTCTCTCTCACACACACATTCACGTACTTTCTCGTGGAATTATGAACTCATAATCACCGATGAGCAAAGGGACGGTGGCGGGGTTCATGATATCTGGATACCCGTGAATACGGATGCCGTGCGAATGATTAATCATAGATTTTGTGTATCTATGTTAGCACAAAGAGAAGTACCCTGGGCTTCCTTTGCGCTTTTCCGAATGAATATGTATATACTTGTTATATCATGGTGATCTGCGATCAATAGATCAATGATCATTTGTATAAAATACGATAGCATGGTACCGTGTAGTTGGTTTGGGGCTTATCAGTTGATAGAGTGGGATATACCCTCAATGCCTTAGGCAGCTTGTCTATCTACACGGGGACGAATACAACCGAGTTCTATATCGAAGATCGACACTAATTTCGAATTACCGTGCTGATCTGAGCTCGCATTGAAGCTATTCGTCCCTATCCAACCAAACCTAGCGCGGATGTCAAGACTCTGACTCCTTAGCCACCACTCTACCTAATCAAGCGTGGAGAGAGCCTAACCGTAGAAATTTGGGGAGGTGTGGCGGCCTGTCGGTTGCTTCTCTTTCATTCCCTCATCTAGCATGTAGAAAATACATGGCTGGCTTCACTTGACGCGCCCTAGCTAAACTGAATGCCATTCACCTTCTATAAATGTTCAACCTCTCTCGCAACAGATGACACGTATAATTGGTTGCGTATCTCTCAGTACACCTCAGAATGGGGCACATCTGAAGCAGCGAAGCATTGGGGGTGGAAAGGGCGATTTGGGTGTGTGTCATAGTAACGGAAAGCAATGATGGGTGTGATTTCCTCGATCTCGGTCTCCTCAATCCTCGTCGTCCTCGTCCTCGCCTCCGTCCTTGTCGGAGCGACGGTATTTCTCCTTGGCGGAAGCGATGGTGGCGCGGACCGTGCGGCCATCAAATGCGCGACCATCCATCAGGTCCACGCAGGCGGCGGCGGCCTCGGGCGTCTTGAACTTGACGCTCGCGATGCCGTCCTCTTCTAGATCGTAGAGTATGACATTAGTCACGGTCCCGAGCTTAGAGCATTCGTCGCGAATATCCTCCTTGATCTCGAGCATGGCAGCCGGGTCCTCTTCAAGCTCGCGTAGCGTGAACATGTGACGCAGTATGACCACGCGTCCCTTGGGCGCATTTGTTTCGAGCTGGGCGCTAAAGGGGCCGTCGTCGTCATCGTCCCAGTCGGCGAGTTTCGCATCGAGTTTCTGTGTCCGCTTTATGATCTTCTGCTTATCTTGCTCGCGACCTTTGTCTCGCGGCTTGCCGGTGCCTGTTATGGGATTGTGGGCTCCACCGTTATTATTGCTGTCGTTGGCGGCCGTACTGCTGCCGCCGTGCTCCCTAGCGCGGCTACGGCCATTGCCGGCATCGTCTTCGCCCTCGCGATCATAATGCGTTTTCTTGTATTTCGAATCAGCGGCCTGCACGCGCATGCGCCCACTCGAGAGTCCTGACGCGGTGTATCGAAAATCGGTATCATCGAGGAGCATAATCGCCATCTCGACGCTCTGGGGTTTGAAAAAAACAACCAGTGCATCGCCCTGTAAGTTCCCCTTCTCGTCTGCGTACAGCTTGATGCGTGGCCGTCCACTGTCGATCTCCTCGGCGATGACACCGCATTTGCGTGAGAAGACATCATGCACCTCGTCGACTGTCGCGTCGAGCGGCAAGCCCGTGACGTAGATGGCAGTGTTCTGGCGGGGAGGTGGGGGTGCGCGTTGTCTCTTGTTGGAGTGTTGCTCAGCCGAGCCATTCTTCCTCTTCTTGTTTATGGTGCTACCGCTGTCTTCTGATGCGTCTCTGTCGCCGCCATAGGCGGACTGCTGTTTGGCAAGCAGTTCCTCGTCGATACTGGGGATCCATCGCCTCAGCTGGGCATCCCACTCAAATTCAGTCCCGTCATCTAGCACGCCAATGAATTTGTTGTCGAGTCGTGAGAAGGAGATACGTTCATCGCTGTCGAACTCTTGTGGGTTAGTGGGAAAGGGCAGACCTGGCTGTGGCTCTGCGTTGGCCATGATGCTAGGGGCTGGTGTTGGAGTCGTATGTCTTGTTTGCAATTCACGCGTTAATCTTCGTTCCCCATGATAAAGGTAAACTATTTGCGCAGCTTCAAGTAACCAAATAAATACCTAGACACCTCAAAGCAACTTGGTCAGCCAGGAGCTAGGCTTGAAGCTCTACCTACCTAAAGCAAGTACCCACGTACAAACACATGCACATGTACTGCTATGTACCTACTATGTACACGCCTAGGTATATACCACTACCGCTATGTAGTAGGTACCTCTACCTAGGAGGATCGATGCCCTCTAGGTACATCGTAGGCACTCTAGCGCTCTTGCGGCTTGTGGCTCAGGGGCTCTCAACAAGTGACATAAAGACAATTACTTCGCACAACATGTAGAACAAGTCGCCCCCAAGTAGATACATGTAGGTCTAGTGTATGACCGTGGGAACTCTATATAGGTGCCCTGATTATTACTGCCTTAGTAGCCCTGTTTCCTAAGTACAGTAGATGTGCGGGGCACTGCGATGCCAATTATAATAGGCGTGTAACACTCACATAAAGCAGAACCCACCCGAGTTGATAAATATGTTACCTGAGATTACAATAATGCTTCAGTCCTATGGTGAAACGCCTGTGGTAACAAGGGCAAAACATCATTACTAACTTACAGCCACGATGTTTGGCATGGGCGCGTGTGCTAAGTTATTAGTGCCACCGCCGTAATCCCTACGCCTAAACGCCAGACACGATGATGGCAATTGCCCCTCCAAGACATCCCTTATGAACATGGGGTTTCGCCAGTAATTTTACAGGTTGGTAGCACTACCAGCGCATCACCAGGCCGCTCAGTTCTTGCCCTTCTTCTTTTTCTTGGACGGCGTTGCGGCTGGGCTACTCAGCTCCACGTGGACGGCCTCTTCGTCGCTAACGACTTTGGTGGAGCCCTTGGCCGAGTCCTCGTCTAGTTCTTTCATAAAATCTTCCTTGATAGTCTCCCTTCGCTTCTCCCACCACTGTTTGTCTGCTTCTAGCCGGCCCTCTATCTCCTCTAGGCGGGTGCGTAGAACGGTGTTAGCAGCAATCTCGTTGGCTGACTGGAAAATTGTCTGTCCCCAGCCTGGTGCGAGAGCATTGGCCTAGTAACGTAGACTGAATGTGAGTAGACTATCCAAGCTGGGAATGAACGCAGGGTTCTGGAGGTGCGTACCTCGCTCACCACATCGCGCAACTCCTCCTCGATCTCCTTCTCGGCTGCTAGGAATCTCTGGTTTAGATCTTCGCCCACGCTTCCCTTCTGTAATAACGTGTTGAGAGCTTGCTTGGATGTGCGAATCTGAATGATTCGACGGATGTTCTCAACTGCTCTGCGGAGGAGTGCGGCTCGAATAACGCTGTCGGGAATTTTGGGCGCCTTCTCTTGGCCAGCTTCTGGTTGCATATGTAAGAGCGACAAGTATATGTTTCGCTGCAAATGTGGTGGGAACCATGGCTCTAGGTTGGCGCTTTGCGCTGTACATCATCACATATTAGCTAGGCGTTAATGCTAAGTGAGGAGCTTTGGTTTGAAATAGGCAACACACCAGCTTTCCGTTTTCTGTAAACAGTTGAGAATGTGTACAGAGATCCGCCGAGCACGGTGATATAGGCGAATGGGAGCGCGAGGCTCATCCAATCGATTTCGAACATGGTGCGAACCTTTGCGCCAGTGTAAAAGACAGGCTGAGGTATTGGAAAGGATAGTAGAAACGAGAGACGTGAATTGAATAGACGGACGAATACTAGCTTGTGTACCTAGATTGGCATGGGCCTTTTCGGGGGATATGGATCTTGACACTTTTCCACAGCAAGTCGAGCAGTTCAGCCACAACCTACCTATGTAAGTACCTAGGTAGGTACCTACTTGATGTGAGGGAGAGAGGCTGTGGCTCATCTATATGTACCTAGGTATCTTTACGTGGCACGGTTACGTAGCTAGCTTACTACTAGCGCCGAAGCAACCTTGAATGGGCAACGAACAGGGGCCATTAGCTTACCGCCTAAATTTTGTTGGCAGAATTTATCTCGATTGTCCATGCAAAGTGTAGAGTGAAGGATATTGTAACGGATCAAATAGGTGCACCTGAAGCAATACCGCCCTTCGTTGTAATTCTACATGATAGCTTAGGTTGTGGCCCCGAAGATGTCGATCTCGCGACAAGATTTTGTCAAGTTAACAGGCCACAAGAACTTCACCCAGCGTCTTGTCCTTGCGACACTCACGGGTCGACCAGTACACATATCAAAGATCCGACCGAATTCGCCCACCAACCCTGGCCTTGCCCCGCATGAGGTCTCGTTTCTTCGGCTTCTCGAAGCTGTCACCAATGGCAGCTCTATGCAAATATCCTATACGGGAACGACCGTAACATATCAGCCTGGGCTCATCACCGGCGCAGTAGCAGGCTATGGCGCCGGCGACGGAGACATAATCGAACATAATATCCCGGCTACGTGTACAAGGGGCGTCACATATTTCCTTTTGCCTCTGTGCTTATTAGCACCCTTCTCTAAAGCCCATATGAATGTGCGCTTCTCTGGACCGGGCGTGATCACGGCCGCCACCGAAACAGGTGACTTATCCATCGACTCCTTCCGTACTGCGATTCTCCCCCTATACGACCTCTTCGGTATACCGGCGGTTCGAATTGAATTACGAATCTTGCAAAGGTCATGCACAGGACAGCGAGGTACTGGTGGCGCGGGGATAGTTGAACTCAGATTTGCAAGCCAAGTCCGTTTACCCAAGACCCTACATCTTCACCGGAATCCCGGACGGATAAAACGGATACGAGGCGTCGCATATTCAACTGGAGTATCTGCTTCGAATAATGCACGTATGATACACTCTGCGCGAGAAGTGCTAAATGCCTTTTGCGCGGATATCCATATCGCCGCACAATACGATCAGGCGCCGCTGGTCGCCGATCCTGGGGACAAGGCAGGAGGGAAGAAGAGAATGGGCATTGGATTTGGTCTCAGCTTGGTCGCTGAATCGAATGTCACTGGTGTGCTGTTTTCGGCGGACACAGTGGTCCCATCGAAAGGTGGCGTGGTCCCAGAAGATATAGGGAAAAGATGTGCGTATCAGCTCCTAGATTCGATCAACCAGGGTGGTTCTGTCAGTAGAGCGGCTGCACCAACACTGCTGACTTTGATGGCAATGGGATCTGAGGATATCGGTCGCCTACGGATAGGAAGGGAAATAATAGGCAGTGAAGAGATAATAGAGCTGGCGCGAGATTTGAAAAAGTTTGGCGCTAGTAGTTGGGGCATAAGAGATGTCGATGAGGATGACACAGACGACATTATCATCGGCGTTAAAGGTTCGGGTCTAGGAAATGTGAGCAGAAAGGTCGCGTAGTTAACCATACAATATCCTATAATTTTGTACAACAATCCTCCTAGTAGTGTCACGATTGCCTTGGCTGTGCTGCGCTCAATCTCGCTCTTCTTTGAGCTGCCAATGCGGCAAGCGTCGCATTATATCCGACATTCTGTAAGGCATAGGCAGCTGCGCTTTCCGGGGTATTTCCCGTGCTATGCCAAGCATTCCGCAGAGACCGAGGAATGTGAAAATTCCCGATGATAGCATTTCCCGACCACAAAACATCCGTGAATCCATCAAGACGACCGTGGCGCCGGACCCCTGACTGCCTAAGGAATCTAACTCCTTCTCTGCCTGCAGGTTCACTATCGCTAATCCCACCGCCAGTATGGTCTCCCAGAGGACGCATTTCAACGTTGGCCGTCTCATTTACTTCATCCATTTCAGGGGCATCTCTGACAACCCCACGTTCTTCCGAATCGTGATCTTGGCCTGTAACTGGCACGGCGACAACACCGCCTGTGTTCGCGTTGGCTCGTGGTGGTTTTATCACGGCTCTAATCCTCTCCTTCTCTATATTCACTGTGAGCATGAAACACTGGATCACCAGGATAACCACGTCAAGCACGATCAAGGTGAACCGTGAGGATGGTGCCGTTTGCCCAATGAAATCAACAAGGATGCCGCCATGTAGGTAACCCCGTGACGCTTCTCCAGCCTGGAGAGGCGAAGATATTAAATGTAGGAACATGCATAGAAGATTGGGCGCGACAATGGCAGAAACGTGATAGTTAGGCACGATCAGAACGGTATCTTCGGTCTTGGGGCTGGCAAACAGCGTTTGCGCCATCCATCGTAAGAGTAAACGGAAAAAGGAGCAGCTACAAAGGAAACTTGTCAGCTTCATTAAAAAAAGATCTCCAAGGAGAACAGGAAGGGAGCTTAGAGGAGGTAGGTATATGGAAGGGGAGCACGCACTCCATATAGTACAATATACACAACTCAGCATACACCAAGGTGTCCAAGTTGAGAGACAGATGTGTTAGGAAATCCAACTTCTTAGTAAGGCCTTCCTTCGCCGATGGTGAGAGGGATAGGCTCTGCGGACTGGAGGAATCATTTTGTCGACGCTCGGGCTCGGGGGACTGGGTACTGCTCTGGTGAATGTTGGTGTCGCCCCCGTGGTGCTGGTTGGGAAGCAAAGGACGGTCCGCCGGCAAGGTCGGGGAGGAATCATTGTTCATAGCTCGGCCTCATTCGACGTATGTAGAGGTGTGAGGAAGGGTAGGTTCTCACATGCTGTTGGAGTACCTAACCTTAGTCGGTATTCATGCGCTGGGAACAAGCGATTCGAGCGACCCAGCGTGCTCTTTGTACAAATAGTTTTATGATAGCTGAGGCGACGATGGCGCGCGTTCGGGGCTGGTGGCAGTGGTTGTATGCTGCATTCCTACAGGCTAACTTTTGGGCAGACACAAGAGACTCGCTACCAGTCCCTATTGCCGTCCAGGTAACTAAGTACTTTCAAGTTGTTACCTAATCATTCGATTCGATGTTAGAGGTAAGGTGCAAATACAGAAAGGGACTAGGATGACTTCCTAGGAAGTCGGTTTACATGTCGCCTGTCTCGCCTGTCACTCAAGACATGTCTCGATAGGGCCTGAAATAGAAAGGTTTATGCTTGATTTAGGGATTTTAACGGCTGAATTATACTACAATCGCTTTATAATCGTACTTAGCAACAACCTGCGAAGTATCTCGCAATCGAAAACTCTACTTCAGTTCCATCTTGTCGCAACTAATATGGTAAGAGAAAGGGTTCTTAGAGCTACCCACTTACCTACTTTAGGTCGTTCAGCAGACTCGGGCCTCAAGCATTGCCTTCTACAGGGCTCTTGCTCTATGTATGGAATATAAAATACATCGTCAAGAAACCAGGTATTAACATGAACAGAACAGATAAATATCAGCCCAAGTAGTTTGTTGCAGCTTTGCCAAATCTCATACAAAACAACACTTATCAAATGCTTATTTTTGTATAGAATATTTAAACAGTTGTTTACTCACTTACACAGATATTTTCCTAATCAGTACATAATTGCACATGCTAAATATACATTGGGACAGCTTCAATTCAAACCATTACATAGAAAGTCCCACGTATATGTACTACTTAATCAACTGTGTACCTACTAAGTACACTATGTGTAGGTAGAGAAAATGGAAAGGGGATGATGAAGGAATCGGCTACGTAATCCCACCAAATAGTTCACTAGGTGATATACTAACTGCACTAAAACACCTACGTACCACTGGAGATTAGATGCCTACTTACATCTTTAGGCAGGTACCTGTAGGTAATCTCTGGGTATCTACCTACCGTGTAGGTACATATGTAGGTAGTCGCCTACGTAAGCAGCCAGGCCCAGCAGTCATACACACTACTACCTAGGTAGGTATCTAGCAGTACTGGTACTTACTGTGTACCTGGGTACATGCAACCGGTTGTTGCTGAGCACTCCTTTGCGAACAAGTATTCTACTGTATTAGCATTGCTTGCTTGCCTGCACCGTGGCAAGAAAAACGGCCAGCGACCTGCCACTTGCGCCTCACGCTCACCCTTCTTCCTACAAGCATACCGCGCAGACGGCCATCACTCTCTCACTTCATCCATCTCCAATAATTCATTCTTCCTCTGAAATACTTCGCCTACAACTACCTGCGCGACCCCCCACCGTCTGCCTGCCAACTTTCCTGTTAGCAGCATTGGCGCGTCACTCCTTTCTACCCTTGCTCGGCCACCTAAGAAGCTACCACGTCGTCGTGAATCGCTTGAGTTCCTTTACCCGCGTTGCGGCCTTCCATCAGGATTACGGCCTGCTTGTGCACCTTGGAGCAGTCTTTGCAGCTCGACTCTTCCAGAAATCCCTCCGCTCTACATTCTCGCCGCCTACCGAAGAACCACTGTGACGTTTGCACCCGTCCCAGCTCCCTGGATTTCGTGGTGGCCTAACAACCCCCGAACCCTCCTTGCGTCCCATCGCCTTCAATATCCATCAAGTTCCACCCATCTTTGCCCATGTGGTCTTGAGCCATGGCGCAATCGCTGCCGATCAAGTTCCAGGAGCTGTTGACGCTCAACAATGCCGGCGTTGAGCAGAGCTCCATCGGTTTCAACTCATGTGTTAGTACCATAACGAGCCTCCACCGTTTCTGCCCTGGCCTCTGCTTGCCGAGTTTTGAGCTGACATGTACCTGGACAGACCCTAGAATCTGATCACTTTATTTGCATAAGAGACCAAAAACCAGGTGCCACTCAACCCGATGTCGTCATTGTTGATCTCCAGTCCAATAACAATGTCACCCGTCGCCCTATCAAGGCCGATAGTGCCATCATGCACTGGACTAAGCAAATTATCGCTCTCCGTGCTCAGTCTAGAACACTGCAGATATTCGATCTCGAGAAGAAGCAAAAGCTCAAGTCCGCCACCATGAACGAAGACGTTGTCTTTTGGAAGTGGATCAGCGAGTCGACCTTGGGCTTGGTTACTGAGACCTCGGTCTATCACTGGGACATATACAACGAGGCCCAAGCTGCTCCCGTTGAGGTATTCAAGCGTAATGCTAATCTTAACGTAAGTCTTCTTTCCAGCTATATTCAGAAACAACGTGGCGCTAAGTATATGGTAGAACTGCCAAATCATCAACTACCGTGTCAACAGCGAGGGAAAGTGGATGTCGGTAGTCGGTATTTCCCAACAACAAGGTCGTGTTGTCGGTAGTTTACAGTTGTATTCGAAAGATCGAGGTATTAGCCAGGCTATTGAAGGGCATGCTGCCACTTTCGGGACCATAAGGTTAGACGGTGCTGCTGAAGACACAAAGCTTTTTACTTTCGCTGTTCGGACAGCGACAAGTGCGAAGCTACACATTGTTGAAATTGATCACAAAGAAGGAAATCCCGTCTTTCAGAAGAAGGCAGTCGATATCTTCTTCCCTCCTGAGGCTACGAACGATTTCCCAGTCGCTATACAAGTTTCGCAAAAATATGGTATCATCTACATGGTGACAAAATACGGCTTCATCCATCTATATGACCTCGAAAGTGGCTCGGCTATCTTCATGAACCGTATCTCAAGCGAAACAATCTTTACCACCTGCTCAGATGCTGATTCGACTGGTATCGTTGGGATCAACCGGAAAGGTCAAGTGCTTTTCGTGTCTGTCGACGATGCCAATATGATCCAATACCTTCTCCAAAACCCCGCCAACACGGAAATGGCGATCAAGATGGCCTCACGTGCCGGGCTCCCTGGTGCTGATCAGCTCTATGCGCGCCAATTCGACCAGTTCTTTGCCTCAGGCGACTATGAAAATGCTGCTAAGATTGCTGCTAATTCGCCCCGCGGGTTTTTGCGAACAACAGAGACAATAAACAAGTTCAAGAACTTGCCAGCCCAGCCCGGCAAGATGTCGTACATTCTCCAGTACTTTGGGATGCTCCTCGACAAGACGACTCCGTTGAACAAAACGGAAACCTTGGAGTTGGCTATCCCGGTATTGTCACAGGGCCGCAAACACCTTTTGGAGAAGTGGGCGAAGGAAGGCAAGTTAGACTTTTCAGAGGAGTTGGGTGATCAGATCCGACCACACGACATCAACCTAGCCCTCGGCGTCTACCTAAAAGCCAACGTTACCCACAAAGTTGTTGCTTCGTATGCCGAGCTTGGCCAATTTGAGAAGATTCTGCCATATTGTTCCCAAACTGGTTATCAGCCAGATTGGATCAGTCTACTCCAACACATCGTCCGCACCAACCCAGAAAAAGGCGCAGAATTTGCGAGCACGCTGGCTAGCAATGAAGGCGGCTCGTTGGTTGACCTTGACCGTGTGGTCGATGTATTCCAGTCTCAGGGCATGGTTCAACAGGCAACTGCATTCTTGCTTGATGCTCTCAAGGACAATCTTCCCGAGCACGGTCATCTGCAAACCAGACTCTTGGAAATGAACTTAGTCAATGCACCTCCGGTTGCTGATGCCATACTCAGCAATCAAATGTTCACTCAATTCGACAAGGCTCGAATTGCGCAGTTGTGCGAACAGAACGGCTTGCTAACCAAGGCTTTGGAGCTTTACGAGTCCCCCGCTGACATCAAACGTGTTGTCGTTAACATTCCAGGCCAGCCCAACTTCAACCCAGAATGGTTTGTATCATATTTCGGCAATCTCTCTGTCGAGCAGTCCCTAGACTGCCTAGATGCAATGATGAAAAGCAACATTCGCCAAAATCTTCAATCCGTTGTCCAAGTCGCCACCAAGTACTCAGATCTTTTAGGTGCAACCAATCTGATTGATCTTTTCGAGAAATACCGAACTTTTGAAGGCCTTTTCTACTATCTCGGCAGCATTGTCAATCTATCTCAAGATCCCGATGTGCATTTTAAGTATATCGAAGCTGCTACCAAGATGGGCCAATTCAACGAAGTGGAGCGAATCTGCAGGGATAGCAACTATTATAACCCTGAGAAGGTGAAGAATTTCTTGAAGGAAGCAAAACTTACCGAAATGCTACCACTCATCATCGTCTGCGATAAGCACAACTTCGTCCATGATCTGGTCCTCTACCTGTACCAGAACCAACGTTTCCAAGCAATCGAGGTCTACGTACAACGAGTCAATCCAGGACGAACCCCTGAAGTAGTTGGTGGCCTGCTTGATGTTGATTGTGACGAGTCTGTGATTAAAGAGCTGCTTAGATCGGTCAACGCAGCCTCAATACCAATTGATGCCCTTGTTCATGAGGTTGAGTCTCGAAACCGCCTTAAGCTCCTGTTGCCATTCTTGGAGGCTACTTTGGCAGCTGGTAATCAACAGCAAGCTATTTTCAACGCTCTCGCAAAGATCTATATTGACTCCAACAACAACCCTGAAAAGTTCTTGAAGGAGAATGATCAATATGATACACTGAGTGTGGGCAAGTATTGTGAAAAGCGTGACCCTAACTTAGCATTCATTGCGTATCAGAAGGGTCAAAACGATCTTGAACTAGTCAATATTACTAATGAGAACTCGATGTACCGCGCCCAAGCCCGCTACCTCTTGGACCGAGCAGACCGAGAACTGTGGACTTTCGTCTTGAGCGAGAATAACATCCACCGCCGCTCCGTTGTCGACCAGGTCATTGCAACAGCTGTTCCTGAGTCTAACGACCCCGCCAAGGTTTCTGAAGCTGTTGCGTCTTTTATGGCGTCTGACATGCCGATTGAATTAATTGAGCTTCTCGAGAAAATCATTCTGGAGCCTTCTCCGTTCACCGATAACCCAAGCTTACAAAACCTACTTATGCTCACGGCCGCTAAGGCTGACAAGGGACGAGTTATGGACTACATCCACCGCTTGGATGCCTTCAATCCAGATGAGTGTGCTCAGTTATGTATTGATATTGGTCTCTTCGAAGAAGCCCTGGAGATTTATAAAAAGGTTGGAAACCACACAGCGGCAGTGGAGGTTTTAGTCGATCATATCGTTAGTATCGATCGTGCGAACGGCTACGCAGAAGACGTCGACATGCCGGAAGTTTGGAGTAGAGTCGCCAAAGCCCAACTTGATGGTCTCCGTGTAGGTGATGCAATTGAGTCTTACATTAAGGCCGGCGACCCACGCAACTACGCCGAAGTCATTGAAGTTGCCACTCATGCTGGTAAGAATGAGGAACTGGTGAAATATCTTCGTATGGCTCGCAAGACTCTTCGTGAGCCTCCGATTGATACGGCTCTTGCCTTCTGCTATGCTAGGCTAGATCAGCTAGTAGAGCTAGAGGACTTCCTTAGAGGAACAAATGTGGCCAACATCGAAGAGTCTGGTGATAAGGCTGCAAGTGAGGATCTGCATCAAGCTGCGAAGATCTTCTACACAAGTATCTCCAACTGGTCCAAACTCGCCACTACTCTTGTCCACCTTGAGGATTACCAAGCCGCTGTTGAGTGCGCTCGTAAAGCCAACAACATCAAGGTCTGGAACCAGGTCCACGCCGCATGCGTTGCTAAGAAGGAGTTCCGCCTTGCTAAGATCTGCGGTCTAAACTTGATCGTTGATGCTGAGCAACTGCAAGCTCTTGTCAAGCAATACGAATATGAAGGATACTTCGACGAGCTCATTGATCTTCTCGAGCAAGGCTTAGGTCTGGAGCGTGCTCATATGGGCATGTTCACCGAACTGGGAATTGCTCTCTCTAAATATCACCCCGAGCGTTTGATGGAACACATCAAGCTCTTCTGGAGCCGCATGAACCTTCCTAAGCTGATCCGTGCCTGTGAGGAGGCCAATTTGTGGCCCGAACTTGTCTTCTGCTACTATCACTATGATGAATTTGACAACGCTGCCTTGGCTGTCATGGAACGGGCACAGAATTCTTGGGAACACCAACAGTTCAAAGATATTATTGTAAAGGTTGCAAACCTAGAAATCTACTACCGTGCTCTCAACTTCTACCTCGAGCAGCATCCATCTCTTCTTACCGACCTCCTCCAAGTTTTGACACCACGTATCGACGTGAATCGAGTCGTTCGGATGTTCCAGAAGTCGGATAATCTCCCCTTGATCAAACCATTCTTACTGAATGTCCAATCTCAAAACAAGCGCACGGTCAACGATGCCATCAATGATCTGCTTATCGAAGAGGAGGATTACAAGACCCTTCGTGACTCTGTAGAGAATTACGATAATTACGATGCTGTTGAACTAGCAGGACGCTTGGAGAAACACGACCTGGTCTTCTTTAGACAGGTTGCTGCTAACATCTACCGCAAGACCAAGAGATGGGAAAAATCCATTGCTCTATCCAAGCAAGACAAGCTGTACAAGGATGCTATTGAGACGGCCGCCATTTCTGCCAAGACTGATGTTGTTGAGGAGCTGCTCAGATATGTAAGTTCAGTTGTGTGCGAGCATATGTCAATACAAGCTAACATGTGTGCAAAGTTCGTCGACATTGGCAGTCGTGAATGCTACGTGGGCATGCTTTATGCCTGTTATGATCTGATTCGCCCAGATCTAGTGCTTGAGATCTCGTGGCGCCATGGCTTGCACGATTTTACAATGCCTTACATGATTAACATGCTGTCTCAGCAGACCAAGGAGCTTGCAGCTCTCAAAGCTGACAATGAAGCGCGGAAAGCGAAGGAAGCTGCCCAGGAGAAGCACGAAGATGAGACGCCTATACTGGGTGGTAATCGCCTTATGATCACGGCCGGTCCTGGTGCTGGCGCTGGTAACATCTCTCCGGCACCTTACGCACAAACCAACGGGTTCGCGCCTCAGCCTACTGGCTACGGCTTTTAGGCACCGCCTCAGCCTGTCGTGTTGGTGCCTGTTATTGCGAAGCCCGTCTCTCCGCATGTAATTGGCCCATCATACGTCCAACCACATCAAACATACACATTCCGACCTATGGCATAACTGCTTTCGTCTGCTCTTGATTCATCCGGATGCAGTGCAGACAGGTAATACGAACTCACATGCGTTAGAGTATAGGGGCTGCACAAAAGTTCTTGTAGATTTGGAGGGGATAATGTGTCTTATGTGACGGTATTTTGACGCCCCAGGGTCAAGGGGTCGAGGCGGTTCTCCTGCTGTCAATGCGTTAGGGGTCGAATCGAGCAAGTAACTAGAATATCGAGATTTGTCGATCCCTAATGATTTTGGGCGTCTCGTCACGATGAGATCACACCATAGTACATTTGTATGATAGTATAAGACGAATGAGAATTGTTTTTGTATTCATTCACGTTTCTACGTCGCACAGTATTCCAATACCTCTTGATTCCGAAAATAGTGAGAGTCTATGCCAGTTGTTATTGGGTATGCTGGGGAAAAGCTAAGCTCAGCCTGAGTTGCCGCCCCATGCACACAGGTACAACATTTGTTCTCAAGGTTTACCCTGAAGCCACTCTCGCACATTATGAGTACTTTTGTTTGATACTTCAGATAGATAATTGCTTGGCGTTGATTCACGATCTCAGCCATTGGTGCCTACGAGGCCCACGTAATTGTGAAAAGACAGTAGAAGAACTTCTGTGGAATAAGATAGCCCATTATTATAATCTAGCTGTTGCCAACTATATTCTTTATGGAAAGGGCCTCAACTCTCGCTTGAGACGACGTTTGATATAGTTATTAGCCAGGGGTAAGGGAGAAGTGGTTCAGTGAAGCATTCTAAAGAATAAATACTATAAGCATACACGAAAAGCGGTGCTTTTATTTCTAGTATGCATGTGACTGGGTAATTACATTTCGAGACAGCTAAACCATTTTTTATTGTCTTTTCTCTGCGTAATACATACTATGAAAAGGAGGAAAGGCTACGCCCAAAATCGTCTTATCAGAGTTCTTATTCCCAAGATAGACTAACTTTCTGGAAAGTCTCAGCCTCATCGAAGATCGCCCACCGCCGAAAACGCCGGCCCAATAACTGTAAGCCCATGTTTCTTTGTCCTTTTAAGATTTGGTAATCTTGCATACAAGGTCTGAGCCGTCGACAGAATCGCCCTCCTTGACCTGCAGCCCGTTAACCTTGCCATTGTGAGGCGCGGAGATGACCATTTCCTGTACTGCGCATTAGCATTTGTCTTAGTCGTAAATATAGTGACCATGATAAAAACTTACCATCTTCATAGCACTGAGGACTGCGAGAGGATCGCCCTTCTTGACATCTGAGCCTTCGTGTACTCGTAATTCAACGAGCACACCAGCCATAGGGGCACCGACCTGGCTTGAATCGCCAGGGTCGGCCTTCGGCCTGCTGACATTCTCAACGCTGGCCTTGTTGTCATCGACAGTGACCTGGCGAACCTCGCCATTCATCTCATAGAACACCTCACGCTGACCGGTGTTCTCCGACAATGGCCCGACCGCCAGGAGCTTCAGGATGAGGACCTTGCCCTTTTCGAGCTCGACATGAAACTCCTCACCAATCTTGGGGGCGGAGAGAAAGTATCGGGTGGGTAGGACGGATAGATCGCCATATTTCTGGATAAACTTCCTGTAGTCATCGAATACTTTGGGATACATCAAGTGAGAAGCAACGTCACACTCGGTCACATGACCCCACTTCTGGTTAAGCTCTGATCGAACCTTCTTGAAGTCAACAGGGTCGAGGTACAGACCAGGTCGCTTATCGAACTTGCGGCGGTTTCGGAGCGCTCTGCTGCGCAGCGGCTCAGGGAAGCCACCGTAAGGTTGACCCATCATACCTTCAAGGAATTCAAGCACTGACCCAGGGAAATCAAGTTCGCCAGCGCGGTTGACTACATCCTCAGGGGACAGTTTATTGGACACCATGAATTGAGCAAGATCACCGACAACCTTGGATGTAGGAGTGACCTTAACGATGTCACCAAGAAGGTCATTAGCATGTTCGTATGCCTTCTTGGTCTCGGCCCACTGTGAACCTAAACCTAGTTGAGAGGCTTGGAACATCATGTTCGTGAGCTGGCCACCAGGAATCTCATGTTCGTACACCTCCGGGTCAGGGCCAGCTAGGTGAGCCTCGAATGGTGAATAGAGAAGACGCAGCTGAGACCAGTAGGTGTCTAGAGCACGAACATGGGCCGGGTTCAAGCCGGGATCCAGGTCGCTGCCTTCAAGCGATGCCAGTATAGCGTTAATGCTAGGTTGCGATGTCATTCCGGACAGACTATCGGTAGCAGCGTCAACAGCATCTGCACCTGCCTTGGCGCAAGCAACCATAGACGCAACACCAGTACCTGCGGAATCGTGGGTATGAACGTGGATAGGAAGGTCAGGGTACTTCTTGCGAATGGATCCAACCAACAGGGTAGCCGCATGTGGTTTCAAAACACCAGCCATATCTTTGAGACCAAGAACATCGATATCAAGAGCAACCAGTTTATCAACAAGATCCAAGTAATACTCCAGGTTGTACTTCTTCTTGGGGTTGAGCATGTCTCCGGAAATGCAGACAGTTCCTTCAGCAACACCACCAGCCTTTTGCACAGCTTTAATACCAACTTCGAGCTGGTTTATGTCGTTCAGCGCGTCGAAAACTCGGAAAATGTCGACACCATTCTTCTTTGCATGCTCAACAAAGTGCTCAATGGCATTGTCTGGGAGAGAAGCGTACGCAACACCGTTAGCTCCGCGAAGAAGCATCTGGAAGGGAATATTGGGAACCGCCTTGCGCATTTTACGAAGTCGGTCCCATGGATCCTCATAGAGGAATCGATATGCGACATCGAAGGTAGCACCACCCCAGCACTCTAGACTGTACAAGTTGCTCAAAGCGTGGCTGGTCTCCTTGGCAATGCCTAGGAGATCAACGGTTCGCACACGGGTAGCGAGCAGCGACTGATGGGCGTCACGCCAGGTGGTGTCCATAAGCAGGCAGCCCTTGTATTGACGGACGGCCTTAGCGAAGCCCTTGGGACCTTGTTCCAAAAGAATTTGGCGCCATCCCTTGGTGGATGGTTGTGATACATCAATCTTGGAGCCATCTTCATTCAAAAGGTCTGGTAGGATAAATTCACCCTTGAACTTAGGCTCACCAATTTGACCCTTGATGCTGCTTCCGTTCACGGCAACATCACCAAGGTAGGCAAGCAGTTTCTGGGCACGGTTTTGGCTGCCAACGAGGTCAAATAGTTGCGGAGTATCGTCAATGAAGGTAGTCCAGCAATTACCATCAATGAATGTTGGGTGAGTGAGTAGAGAAGCGAGGAAAGGAATGTTGGTCTTCACGCCACGGACACGGAACTCAATTAGAGCTCGGAGGACTTTACGACGAGCAATCTCGTAGGTGGAGCCATGGCAGGTACACTTCACCAACATAGAATCGTAGTAGGGGGTGATTACCGCACCGGCGAATCCGTTACCACCATCGAGACGAACACCATTTCCACCAGCAGATCGGTACACTTCAATCTTGCCAGTGTCAGGCTGGAATTGCTTAGCAGGATCCTCGGTAGTGATTCGACACTGGATGGCAAAACCCCGGGTAGAGATCCGGTCTTGGGTCAGACCAAGCTGCTGCAAAGAAGCGCCAGCAGCAATCTGGATTTGAGCGGCCACGATGTCTATTCCGGTGATCTCCTCGGTAATAGTGTGTTCGACTTGAATACGGGGGTTGATCTCGATAAAGTAGTAGCGGTTCTGCTGATCCACAAGGAACTCCGCAGTACCGGCATTTCGGTAGTTGACGGATTTGGCCAGCTTCACAGCATCGGCGAGAATCGCATCTCGGGTTTCCGCGGGAAGGTCCTTGGCCGGGGCAATCTCCACTACTTTCTGGTGCCTCCGCTGAACCGAGCAGTCGCGCTCATACAGGTGGACGATATTTCCATGGTTGTCTCCGAGAAGTTGGACTTCGATGTGCTTTGGCTTGTCTAGGAAGCGTTCAACAAAGACCGTGCCATTTCCAAAGGCCGTCTTTGCCTCAGAGGTGGCTCGCTCAAACGCTTCCTTTAGATCTGACTGCTCCCGTACTACTCGCATGCCTCGACCACCACCACCGTAGGCGGCCTTGATGATGATGGGGAAACCATACTCATCGGTGAAGCTTTTGACTTCTTCGAATGTGCCGACAGCACCCGGGGTTCCGGGAACAACCGGAACCTTGGCTGCGATAGCGAGCTTGCGGGCCGAGACCTTGTCGCCGAGGGAATCAATGACGTCGGGCGAGGGGCCGACAAACTATGCCAAATCACATGTCAGTTGGAGTTGCATGGTGGAGGCGGGGCAAAGGAGTCACTCACAATCAAGCCGGCTTTCTCGACATTTCGTGCAAATACAGCATTTTCGGACAGAAACCCGTAACCTATGATGCCGATGCTTTAGAAGCCACATTGGGTAAAGTGGGGGGGGGAACTATTAACTAACCAGGGTGGATCATCTGAACGCCATGCTCCAGCGCAATTTTGATAATCTCGTCGCCGGCGAGATAAGCGCCAACTGGAGTATATTGACCACGCTTTCCAATAACATAGGCCTCGTCGGCCTCTGGGACATTTGTTAGCGGAGCGCCCAGAACTCAGTTTTGACGGGCTATGCGCTTACTTTGCCGATGCATGCTAAGACGGTCCTCATAACTGGTGGGGTTAGCCGGACACCGCTGCTAGTGAGCTATCCAGGGCTCGGGCCAGTGGATGGCTTACCTAAATACAGCGACGGTGTGTAGAGACAGTTCGTGCGCCTATCCTCGCGTGAGTCACCTTAGGCCGTTTTGGGGGGCAGAAACGATATCGGAGGGAAACTTACGGTTCTGAAAATCTGTTGCGCGGTCAGATGTCAATAATTGGCCTTGCCCGGTTTTCCTACACCTTTCGTCGGGTTTGGTGGGGGGAGGGGCTTACACGAATAGCTGCCCGCCAGGTTAGCCATGCATCTCAGGATTCTGGTCGCATAGAACGCGGTAGTACTTACGTATTTCACCTCTGTTGGCAACTGTAGAGGAGGGCGCAGGTTAGCGGTATCCAAAGCGGCACAAGGACGGCCATCTATGAAGTTGGCCGGCGCAACGTAGACTCACCCAAGATCTTGTTCAAATGCATGATAGAGCTGTTGGCCCGAATGTGGTGGGCCGTCTTGCCAGGCTTGGGACCAGTCTCCTCCTCGAATACTTCCTCGTTGGTGCCATCAGCAGCAGCAGCCTGTACCGCTCTGAGCGCCTCGATGTCCTCCATGTTGTAGGGTGGTGATTGGCGGTCGTGAAATCCAAAGGAATTGGTTCTGGTGAATTAGAAAAGCCTCGGTGCGATTGAGGCAACGAAACTGGCGGTTGGCGTGACGTAGTCGAAGATATGGACCCAGGTACGCTTTGTCTGTCAAGCGGGGTTGCTATCTCGCGGATCTTGGTGTCTTGTACCGGATCTCGAATCAAAGTTCCAAGATGGCCTCGGACGACCGACGATTTCTCAGCACACACAGCACACACCAGAGTCTCTCGGGGAGTAAGAGTGCAGTTTAGGTGTGAAGTAAGGGTGCTAGGAATAGCTGGGAGGAGGTGTGGGAGGACTCGACTTCAGGAGGGAGGGAGGGAGACGCGAGGGGGGGTGAGGGAAATATACTTGTAGATATAAGTTTGGGTCGAGGCCGAGAGGGTCGATATCGCCTAGAGCGGGATGACACAGAGAGGAGCAACTTGAATGGGCTGGGCGACCCAACCGAAAGCAAAGATACGGAGCCAAGCTGCTGCTGCTGCTGCTGCTGCTGCTCCTATTATTGTCTCTACAACTGACTCTCTACTCGGTACTGTGCGGCATAGCGATGCTTGTTTCCACTCACACTAGTGCCGGGAGGGACGACCCAAGGACGACCGACCCAAAGACGACTGGCTGGAAGGCTGGCGATTCTGGGCGCAACAACCAAGAATTGGCACACGCACACAAGGCAGTGGTTACCTGCCGGTGACAAGCAAGCCCGGGATGGTTCGAAGCGTGTTGTTTTATGGTTTCTACAGTATGGGACAATATCTACCAGTACCTTGGGGTTCAGTCCGAGTACATACTCAGCTACATACCCAGACATGTGGGCAGATACATATGTAGGTAGGTATACACTTCGTGTAGCTACTGAGATATCGGTTTCATAGCCTGTACCTCGGTCGATCTTGGCAGAGGCACGTAATGTCAGTGAATGGTAGACGGGACGTGAATTATATTTGTACTGTACACAAATTTCCGTTTCGGGCATTGGTAGTCGGCAATGGATAGGTACGTGTAGGTTTGTAGGAGCACCGGAGCTTCGTCAGCCTGCGCAACCTACCACAACCCATGTCATGGCGGCTGGCCAGCCTGCAGGAGCAGAGTAGTTTGGGCATGCCCAATCGAGAGAGCCTTCAGGTGAAATTTAACTCGTCTACACGTGAGAGGCCCCAATGTGAGTTGACGATCTGGCCAAGAGGCACTGGACGGATCTTATCTGACACCAGCTCGAGCCGGTGGCGCGCGGTGTCCTACCTACCGTCGGCCGCGAAGCGAAGTCCTCGGCTTCAAGGTACCAACCTACGTACAGTACAATACTCATGGATGCTACATGTAATCTTGTACGTACATGTGCAGAGAAACACCAAGCTCCTCGGGGTGGGACACACCGCTTTGTAGCGGCAAATACTGACTACAGACACACAGAATTACTCAATCCCCCTCTCCGGATCAAGCTGGACATTTGCATCCAAACCCTGTCGCAACCAAAAGCACGTGCGGTGTAAATGTCCGTGGAAGGACTGGGGTGGGGGTTTGCCATTCGCAAGTTCAGGGTAGCTAGACTACCTACACTTACTTACATACATACAGCCAAACTACGGTTTCCAATCGGCGGGGTTTAGCGGGGTAAGCTTGCGCTGTTTGTCGCAGTCCGCTTCAGCTCAAACACACCTGCATGCCTACATACATACCTATATACCGGTAGAACGGGGACGGACTATTGTATTGCACAACAGCATCATTGGAGGCACATACGAGGTACTGCTATCTACCTAGGTAGGGCATAACAACGCAAATTGATGCATATTAACCTCTCGTGCGTGGTAACACTACAGCCATATTTAGTTGAGACGAAGCTGTGTGTGGACAAACCACTGCCTGAGCTAGGCCCGGCGAAGGTACGGATGGCCTCGGCTTTCCAGCTAACAACAGGGGATCTTCTTGCACCCAATGGAATGTATTGTACATGCATCGAGGACCTCAATGGCATAAAGTACACAGTTGTATCAACCTGCAGCACTCGAAGGAGCTAACATGCATGTGCGTGGACAGAGATTCAAGTTGATCCAAAACAGGACATTGGTACTCGTACAGTACGTAGTATATACTCTGTAGTGGTAGCTTGGTGGGGTTATAGCCAATGAGAAGAGTCGAATTCAAATGTCCTGAAAAAGCAAAGTAACCTAGGTTAAGCAGTCGACTAGGGTTAGGTAGAGTGAGCCAGCCCACTTCGAGTTCAACTCTGGCTCTTATGGCCATGCCTAGGTACCAATACTCTGTAATCTTTATTTTATTCTATTTTTCCCTCAGCTGTACTAGGTATATACTACCTACAAGCTCTGGTTGGTGCTTCCTGGCCCGGTCCTTTCGCCCTTATTTCTGTTCTTTAAAGTATATCGCACCGGTAGGCAGCCCGACAAAGTTATGAATCCTTCTACCTATGTAGGTAGTTATGGTGACATCATCTCTGCAACGATAGCGTATTGTTGTGTTCCCAAGAACGACCAAAAATCCGGGATTGACATTGGATGCTCATCTCATCCAGTGTCAAGGCAATCTGCCAGGGAGACAACACCTTACCAGTCTTACCTCCCAGTTGCGTAAAGCGTCGTAGCCGCCTGCATGTGTATGTAGTATGCACAACTCCAGGTGAGACATTTTTGGGTTCATCCAGCGTATCATAGGTAAGTAAGACAACAGTCAAATATTACACTATGGTACCTCTCGTCAGAGTAGATGGCGGCTACTCTTGTATTTTGCTGATCGCTGCTCGAGAAAGCTACCTCCTGGCTAGGTAGGCACTCAAGATGTTTGTTCCTATCCATTAGTAGCTCTAGCTCGTAAGAAACAATGTGATACATACAGTAGTAGGGCACAATGTATTTCCACGACTTCGGATCTTCCAACCCCCCCACCCGTGACCTGAATGAACCTCGTCCGCGTGATGCAATACAATCTGAAACTATGCATCTGGCATGCGATCGACTAACAGCATGGATGGCATTGACTCTTTACACCACCTATCTATCTAGGTCACATACGGCTACCTACCCGGTGGCCGCCCCCTCTTAGCCTTGCTTATCTGACTGTTTGTTCACTGAAGACTGTCACATCACTTCCAGGTCACCAAGCCTCCAAGGAATGCGCCATTAAACGTCTGCCAGTCGTACCCACCCCGCAACAACAGCAACGAGGTGTTTCCCCAAGCACTCATTTGTGCCTGTCGCCAAGTATATTCCTCATGCATCGAGCCGGCTTGGTATCCCGTCTATCTTGCAAAAATCCGCCGCATGTTGTGGGCTACAGCTCGGCCCAAGCTGCTTGCCGAGCTTTCCCAAGATCCTTAGGTGACATGGTGCTTTCGTCCCTTTGGCCGAATCAAAGACTAGCTGCCCCGTATACTGCCCTTTTCGTTCTTCATATAGAGATAGAAACAGAAAAAAAGGACACTGATAGCCCCGTCCCGAGGGGAGAGGAGCTTGGCACAATAGCTTCTTTATGCTATTGCATCTTGCAGCTGCAGAGCATATGTCACCTGACCGATGCCAAGGGTTTCGCATTACAATTTTCTATCTTCTCACCAATGTTTCTATCTCAGTCGTCAGATACGACCATGTTCTTGCTGTTGTTGATTATATCTCTCAGCTCGCTTTGGCAAGTCCTTGCGAGTCATTTACGCGGAGTAGGCGGAAGCAACAGTAACCCGGTCAAGGTCGGTTAGGTTGGTAGTCAATATTGATACCAAGCTGGCTCCCGTTGTATAATTCACCTTGTCGTCTACACACCATCTTTTTTTCCTCCTCCCTTCGGCAGGGACGCTTATTCCCTCTCTAGAAACAAATGTCACGGGAAACGTGCTAGGCTACCGACTTAGCGCACTAGCCTTGCGGAGAGAGTTTCTGTTTTCTGGTTTGTCACCACGGTTGGCTTACTCCGTAACTCTGAATCTGCCGCATCGGTGTACGGCGTACGTACGCCGCTTGCGCAACGCAATTTGACGCAAATAAGCAAGTCAAGGGGCTGTATGCGATCATCGAGTTCTGTTATAGCTTGGCTCGTCCCAAAAAAGAATTAGATCAGTATTAGCTCCGCCGGCGATAATGACCGGTGCCGTTAACTACCACTATAGTAACCCTTCTTCTCAAATCATTGGCACCGAGTGATCTAACGCTTGCTTGAGGGAACATCAGGACTATAGTCAAAGCCAAGTGTGGGCTTGCGCAGACATCTGAGAGGAGGATTCGTCGAAATATATGCGGTGGCATTGGCATCACTCGGCACGGAAGGCTTAGCGAACGAACTGCACCTCCACGCGCTATAATAGATATATGACTGAAAATGTCTCGAAGATAAGCGCTGACTGCTAACACCTCATATTTCAATTCTCGGACGAAGACATCTGTTGCCATAATTCGTTCAACTCCAACGCGTCTATCCGATGGTATATCTTTGCAGAAAACAAATCCTATGCGGTAGAAATACAGTGTGCGCGACGCTATCCTTTGGGAGATGTCAGCCTCCGGCTTCTCTCAACTTCAAGTCTGACTGCTCCCGCTGAGACAGCAGCACATCTCCCTCTAAGGTCCCCCTAAAACACCATCCGAATGAGTTGGTAATCTTGTAGCTTGCCCGCTTTCCAATGACGTCTCTTCTCTGTTTTTCTACTGACTTTGCGCCTCAGTTATACCTCCTCAACAGTGCTCGGCATTCATAGGGAAAGTTATATTTATTTTGTAACGGCCTCTTTGACTTTCTCGGTCACGGAAGCAGCCTGTTCCTTGCCACCCCAGTGGTGCCAGTTCAGATATCGGTATCCCTGCGTGAGCTGGGAACCCTCATTGATGAAGTGGCACATGAAGAGTAGGTAGTTCTTAGGGGTGACGGCGAGGGAATATCGCATGAATGTTGCCGAATAGATACAGAGGGCGAGGGTCATGTGCCCGGAGATGCTAGGGATTGGCATAGCAGTGTCAGTTGGGTTTCCAGATTGTCAGGTTGTAAGTTGATACACGCAAGGTTAGGCGACGACAACCTTACGGTCTTAGAGGCCCACCCCGGTGCCCCATTGATTTCGCGGGCAAAAGGACTCGCACGAGGTAAGACAGCGATTGAACTCACAGCTCTGGCGACTTTTGTGCATCTACTACCGCCGCTACAGGAATACCAAAGTTCGACACAGGACCCCAGAAGTCTGCACATTACAAAATGTCAGTAGGCGAGTTCCATCACAATCTCATACACCAGTATATAGGTCTCCGCAACACATCATATGGGATATAGTGGGCTTGGTAGACCGATGTTGCGGCTGGTGACTTCGTTCATTAGGTCATGACCGTCGGCTTCTGAATTCAGCAGTGACACTAAGTAATTGGCCCGAGCCCCTCTCGCAATGTCGTTTCTGCATGTGTCAAGTCTACAGAGCATGCCGCGTGCTGGGATAACACGTACAGTCGCAAAATACCGCCGTTCTTCTTGGTCGGGTTGGTCGGGAGGGAGGTCCGCAAATCGGAAAGGTTAAGGATCAAAGAAAGTAATCACATACGCGTTGAGCAGAAGTAGCTGACGGTCGGGTTTGACCTGATCTTGGCATTAATCGCTTTGACGAAGGCGGCCATCTTATGAGTTCGCTAAGCACGTATTGCGGGCAATTGGCGAGACGTTTGGGTAAGACGTTGTAGGCTTTGTGAGGAAAACAGCCGTTGCGTCGTGATCGTGGGTTGCGCTCTGGGGGCCGGAGTCAATCGGCAAGATTACTAAAGATTCCGTTGGGAAATTTTACAATGGGGAAAGGCCGAAGCTAAACTGCGGGTCCGGCTTCTGATAGGTACCGCTGTACACTGGACCACTGGCCTGGTCCTATGAGTGGCTAATCAGATCCAATCAGATCTTCTACATCGCCTACCTAAGTATTGCACGCGACATGTAGTGAACGGTAGGTACTATGTAGATAGCTATCATCATCATTCTACTTGTATATGTAGGTAGTCAACCTGCTTAGTCAAATGAATAGACCTAACAGCTTAGTAGTCGGGAGAATTATCTTGATGGTTCTTTATGCCGTAAATGACCTTTGTAGCCACTTGTTTGTAGCATTGTGATCGCTAGGTAGAGTACAAGGCCCAAGTTCTTTATGACGTGAGCTATCCACAGCCCTCACTCGTTGCATTCCCAAACGCCGAATGGTATCTTCGCCCTATACTCATGTAGTGGGCATTTCTCATCGTAATGCTAAATATCTCAGACATCTTTTTATCTCCGGGGAGGAGGGTTGAAGCCTGGCGGGCCACCACCTGGATTAAAACCAGGAGGTGGGAACTGGCCACCCTGAGGGAAGCCCGGAGGAGGGAAGTTTCCGGGCGGGAAGCCGGGAGCGGGCGCTGTCTGTGCATTAGCAGCTGGCCAAAAGCAGCAAGAAATCCTAGAAGACTTACGACCGCCTCTTCCAGGTCCAAAGCCAGGTGCACCTGGGAATTGAGGGAAGGGAGGAGGGACACCACCACCAACACCAGCAGCTGGACCCTACAAAATCATTAGCATTGAAAGCAACCATGTTGTCACACCGATAACTCACGGCAAGTGATGTGGGCGCAGCACCGCGGCCAGCAGGGCGTGAAACACCAGGGCCAGATGTCAGGCCAGTCGGAAGACTACTAGCAGTGCTCTTTCCAAGTCGCGTGCTTGGGTCTGCCGGAGGGGCAGACTCAACAGACAGCGAGACAATCTGCGCACCACGCAAGATAGTTAAGCCCAGCGTCCGCTTCTCTTCCGTCTCAATGGTCTGGGTGGCGGTGGAACTCGATGCGCCAGGGGCTGCGGGTTTTGCTTGTTTTCGCTTTATGCGTCGAAATTCATCCGTGTCGCCTAAGACCAAATTCATGTGCTGCACACTCGTCAGTGATGCGTGCAATACCGAGCATATATGGCAAGGCTGACCTTGTCGAACGCGAGAAGCTGCCCCGTCATTTGTCGACCGTCTGTCAATCTGGTACAGGTCAGCGCTGAAAGGTCGCGATGTTTCGACGAGATCCTTACGTAACTCTCATCCGGTAATTAATCTAATGGGTCGTCAGTAACTACACAACATGAACAACCGGCCCTAGAATCCAGATCGAGGCGCGAGGTGCTAGTTGGGGTCGACGTACATAACCGGCCTAGAGATTCCCTACTAGTCAGCCTGGTGTGTCAACAACATTAGTATGATAGCGGTCTGGGACTTTACACACCATTTTGCCTTGCTTGTTCGACATATTTGCGGCTGGCGGCTCCAATGGAGCTCTGAAAGTTTTAGAAAACTGATACTGTCTCTCCTTTGTTTGTTGTAATTGTAAAAAGCGAGCGCGAGCTTGTGGATGCGTGAAGCTCAAGCTCTTGCTAGGATGGGGAAACAGGGGACAAAAACTAGAATGGTAACATGTTGGCAAGGCTGAAGGACTGAAGCTCACTGAAAGCTCCACATTTGACTAGTGGAGCATGATTCAGCCTCACCCCCAACTCACGTTCTCGGACCCCACCGGGTTTTCTGTCACCCCACCACCAGCCACAATTCCCTAGGCAAAGCGAGCCACACTTTTATCCTAGGGCAGAGAAACCCTTTGTAAATTACAGGCCTAAATTATTCTTCTCTCCCGATTGGAAATCTTATCAAGTCAGCATCAACCAGTATCCCTCACCACCTCATCACCTCGGGCCCAATACTAACCACCAATAGCCGCCATGGTATGTTTGCATCACGACTTCTTCTAGATAGAAAGCAAAATGTTAATCAGTCGCCCTATAGTCTGAGAAAGCCCAGAACCCCATGCGGGAGCTCCGCATCCAGAAACTCGTACTGAATATCTCAGTTGGCGAGTCTGGTGACAGATTGACTCGTGCTGCTAAGGTGCTCGAGCAGTTGAGCGGTCAGACACCTGTCTACAGTATGTTTCAACCCAGTCTTCATAGAATTATCATGAACTGTAGGCTAATTGTCGCACCAACAGGCAAGGCCCGCTACACAGTCCGTACCTTCGGTATCCGCCGTAACGAAAAGATCGCTGTTCACGTCACGATCCGTGGCCCCAAGGCTGAGGAGATCTTGGAGCGTGGCCTCAAGGTCAAGGAGTACGAGCTTCGCAAGCGCAACTTCAGCGAGACCGGCAACTTCGGCTTCGGTATCAACGAGCACATTGATCTTGGTATCAAGTACGACCCATCGATTGGTATCTATGGTATGGACTTCTATTGCTGCATGACCCGCCCTGGTGAGCGTGTCACCCGCCGCCGTCGCTGCAAGGGTAGAATTGGGGCTGGCCACCGCATCAACCGTGATGAGACCGTTAAATGGTTCAAGCAGCGCTTCGACGGTATCGTCCGATAAATACCAGAGCGTTCAAAACAATTCAAAACATAACATGGCAAGGCGTTCGGGGTTTATATTGGTCTGGCAAAACTAGGGCAAACCATTGATGAGTCTGTATGTACTACTGAATTTCTGGCGAGTATCATCGATTACTCAAGCTCGACTTGTATATCATGTCAGCTGCGGCCTCAGAGACCGACCGGCGCTATGCCGGCTTCCTATGCCACGACATAATTAACAGTGACCATGCCCTTGCACATATATAGCGAGCCTTCATAAAGTGTTCTGTATCTACTATATAATAGTAATGGCCGAATGATTCCCCGTTAGATATGCGCAATCATTTAATGTTGATGTGCAACAACGCACTTTAAACGTGACTTCAAAGCCAATAGCTTCATGCAGGTTGGAAAAGAAACAGCAGCTAATAAATCAACTTGCACATGTATGACCTACACAGATTCATTCAACTAACTGTCACACCACAGTTCCTAGCAGTAAGTTGCATCTTCAGTTAGTCATAGTTCTATTGCGGCTACTGGACGCACTCTCAGCAGTTGAAAATATGATCTTGAGCTTAGTCGTGTCTCTTATACCCTGACTTCGGGTTGAAATCAAGTATACTACCAAATCTGGTCTGAGCAACTTAAGGACTCATAATCTAGATGTTACACGTGTAACCTCTGTACCGGTTGAAGTATGCAGTTCGCCTTGCACTTCGGCCGTACGAAGGACCATTGCAGGCTGTTCATGATCTTTCAAGACATGCAGGCAATATTGGGCAATATTGGAAAGTGAGGTTATACAGACTTCGCTCCTTGAAACAGATCCTAGAGACCTAGGCGGTCTGGGCTGGCAGACCAATTGTATATAGAGTCAAGTCAAGCCACCAACAGCCAGGAAGGAGTTGGTTGGTCAAGGACTAATGCAGCCCTAGTTGATCATTTGCAATCTGAATTCTCAATTCCAAGCCCAGTTCAATCTGCCCTTGTTATGCTAGATCCCCCCGCTGCTCCATGCATCTATCCCCATCTACGAGAGGCCATCTGCGGACCTGCAATCCCGAGGTCCACGTTGAATACGTTATGTCCCTCAGATAGGTAATAGTCATTATATCCAAGTAAAATCTATAGGCGCTCGCTGGATGAAGTTCGTGTATCTAAAGGAAGCACGTCCACAATGAGGTGAAAGAAACTAGGTAGGTACGCAGCAACAGGAAGGGAGAACCTACCACTTCACACGCAATTTCGGAAGGAATACCACCGTTTTCGTGCACTTTCCTTGATTCGTGCAAACTTGGAGGCTCCTGAGAAATCCACGTCTAACTCTCGCCTTCAACTCACTCTCGATGTCCCACTGCCCAGCCTCCTTTGACAACGAGTTTACGCTTTCCAGCATGGTCAGTATAACTTCAGCTGTATGGGTTAATGAGGTTCATCGTGGTAGTTACATTACAGTTGAATCATTTCCATATTACATGTTTTCTCCCGATCTTCCAGCCTTTCATCATCTGTCCTACAGCATCACATAACGTAATGTTCACGCTCCATTCAAACCTGTAAACACTTCAGGAAGCCAGGCTCCTGTCTATTGCTGCTCGAAAACAAACTTCAATATTATAGCCTCATTTCGTTTGCACGCGTTTAATCTCCTGCGGTGAAGTCGTCATTTTTTTGGGACGACTCAAATACATTGATACAGCTGTATCCGTCACCATGGTAAAACTGCTTCGGTTTCCTTCTCCCGCTCTCTCAGCCCATTATGGGTACCCAACCTGCAAGATGAGTCATGACGGACACTGATGAAAGCGTTAGCCACCTAAATCGAATAGCAAGCGAAGCACCCGTTCGACGACGGCCGGTAGTCATAATGAGCTGCCGTTACTCAACCAGCGGACGAGCTGCCTTAGAGCGGAAGATGCATATTACCATACCTACTCCCCAGGCGTGGACTCAATCAATGCGAGTTCCAATATTGGCAACGCTGGGCCGAGTAGCGTGCATATCACCGACTCAAGCGTTCGTTCTTTAGGGCTCAATTCAGAAAGAGACTCTGTGGCCGAAGACCAAATGTCAACTGAACCTGTCCCTGCAGAGTTCGATTCCCAGGCCTGTTTCATGCCATCTTCTCCACCTGCTACCTATCGTAGTGTACCAATCACCAGAGCAAGAGCAAGGGCAAGCGCGAAAGCAGTTGAACTAAATGCACAAAACAACTTGGCAAACTTACTTCCCAACATTGAGGCCCCGGAACCTAGAGACAAGAAGAATACACATACACATCTCCCACGATCACCTCGTCGAGACCAACCTAAAATACCGTCGCGGAGCATCAAGGGATTCGATGGCTCTGTAGAAGAGCACAGCTCTGATGGTGCAGAGAGCTCAGAGGGCTCAGCGGGCTCACCCTCCCAAAATGAATGCTCCCTGCTAGAGCCAAGTACTGATCAAGATGATTTGTATCACCTTCCTGAATCTGAGAAAAGTAGTGACGAATCAGAGGCTTCGGTGACCGCCGGTACAGTCGGTCGTCCTAAATGTAAAGGCAGGAAAAAACTTATCACAGTCACCTACTCGACAAAACAAAGGAGGAATAATCAACCCAAGAATGGAGGCGTCCCAATCGAAGCCAAAAAGTCTGATAGTCCTGTAGACAAGTCTGGTGGCCCATTGCAAGAAAATAGGGCGCAAAACCAAGCAGCAAACAGTCCGGATGGAAAATTCACACAGCAAAGTAAAACAGCCCGTGATTCTTGTCGAAACGCGAAAGTGTCGACGCAGAAGACTTCAGGCACCATACAAGATTCACCGGCTTCCACCCAAGATCTTTTATCCCCCATAACAACAAAATCAAAAGGTACCATTAACCGAAGGCCAAAAAGGCCATTCAACGCTGGTAGTCCCAACGAGCACAAGGCCAGCCCACAGGAAGTGCCGCCTTTCAGTGGCAATGTCAACATCGACAAGCAACCGATAGCGGGGCAAGAAACAACTGACTCTTCGACTTCTCCGAACGTGACAGAGTCACCAGAAAGTAAATCGACACGTACTAGTTGCCAGGGCACCAGGCGTAGTACAAGGGATGTACCTTTGCCAGGGGTAAAACAGGAGAATGGTCGCCACGGTAAAACACCTGTGGTTGGCAAAGGGAAATGCCGTGACATTGATCACAGTCAGCTCAATGGAAATCTCAACACACTGCGCGTTCCTCATATTCTTCCAGCATCAGACCAGCCTGCGAAACCGACTTATGTGGACTATGGGTTGGTTCATCCAAGAAATCGTGCACTCTATGATCTAGATTCTGGATCTACCAAACGCCCTTGTCGTTTTGAAGCTAGTAAAAGACCTACTAAGAAGTCCCAAGCCGCACTCGACAGGACAGCGCCCAGCAGCAATATCAACTCATCCATCAGGGGTCACTTGCCCAAGATGAACCTCACTCCATTACCTTACACTCATATGAGAGAAGAATTGAATGAGGCGACACCGACGGAGATTTCGGTAGCTGAGCTTTCACTTGCCAGTTTTCATGACCAAGAGCCAGAACGGAATGAGAAATTTTCGAGCGATCATACACCCGGCTACGGATTTTCTAAACCGCGACAAGTTAATCGGTCAACCGAATTTTCAAGCGCAGAAGACATACCTGAGAAAGGCGGAAGCCAACGCCGGCAAAGAGCAGGCAATCCAGAATACCTTCCTTCCATGAAAGTATGCAAGGCTGCCTCAGACAGGGAGGAATCATTACATCCAAATTCTATGACTTGGGCAAATATGTTAGCAGAAAGATCGCACAAGAAAGATTTGATTCCGGTGCCACTTGAAATACCAGGAGAAGTTGATTCTGCAAACCAAACACTACCACTTGAACGAGATTCCCACAAGCCCCGAATATCGAAGCGTGAAAGTATACTACAGAACCGGCGTGAGGCAGTTTTCGAGTCTGTGCAAGAAGTGATCACTGTGAGTGAGTGAAGACCTCTTGATTTAACTTTGATGACTCATTAATCACAGGCCATGCTTCTACGTATGCAATCCAAGGAGTCTACTGTAAATGAAATTATGGAGAATTATCGGCGCAATGGGCAACAGTTAGCTGATGCCTTGCTGAATCGCCAAGCTATTGAAATCAGCGACGTTATCCATGCATTTGATAAGAAGTGCTGCCGGCTTAGTGAAATGTTTCGTGGAGGCGCTCGCCTCGCAAGAACGATCCGCAAAAAGGTAGCGAACGAAGACGATCATTACTATAGAACCTGGAATCAAAGGAGCAAGGAGCTTGATGAAGAGATAAGGGTGACTTGGGAAGCAGTTAGATCTCTTTAAGCAACTTTTGTTCAGCGGGGAGGGGAAAGCTACGCGAAGCTCTCAGGTTGTTGCTAATGTGCTACAAAAAGGAAATATTTTGGTGTGCTATTAGGGTTAGGGAATCTGATTTCTGAGCTGCAAAAACCATTTGCTTCCCTTACTCATGTTTATAGCTTGGGAGTGAAAGCCCGGTTTGCAGAAGGACTAACTAATCGTTTACATGTATAAGTTGCTGCCTGGCAGGTATCAAGAAACTTCGAATACTAGGTAGGCGACATGGCGAGAAGATATATGCGCGATGTGAATTAACAAAAGCTTACCTAATATAGTGCCAATACTACCCAAGTTACTATTACCGGTAGACTTCCGCATCAATATCCCACTGTAGTGCCTGACGTCAACAACCGACCCCCTATGGTTTTTATAGTAGAGGGGAAGAAGGATGTTTCTAAAATCCACCCAGAGATGAACAGATGTCGTAAGCATTCCGAACAAAGCATATCTATTACCTATTTGTATTGCCAAGAAAAACAGTGAAATGGCGACATCAGCACGTTACTTCAACAATCCGACAACACCATTGAAGAAAGTTGATGCTCACAGTGAGCTCATTGCCAGCCTCAGAAGAATCGTTAAGTTGCACCCACCTATTCATACTTGCTCAACAAGCTGGTCTTTTAGCGGTCTCTATTCTGGCCCCACGTCAATTGCATTCTTATTCTATAGATTATCTGGTGTTTATCCGAATTTCGAATATGAACATCAGTCTCTCCTCGAATGGGCTGAAGCTTACCTTCAGCTCGGAGCACGAACACAAAAACGGACACCTACGCCAGGTCACTGTGGCGTTGGCAATGAGACGTTGGCTCATCTTGCCTTGAAATCGATACTTTCAGAAGATGCCACTCTCGTAAGAGAGTTGTGTTCGTACGCGGAAGCAATCAACTCGTCAACAGAAGATGGATCCAATGAATGGCTTTATGGTCGTGCTGGGTACCTATATCTCATGAGGCTTTGTCATGAAGTCTTCTCCGAGGTACATCACCCCGGGACTGCAGCACTCTTGCAGCGGACAATTGAAAGCACTGCCAACCGAATACTTAAAACCCCCCCACCGTGGGTTTGGCATGGAAAACACTACATAGGCGCAGCTCATGGATCGATTAGTATTATCACACAAGTTGTTTTATCAATACCGTCTATGGCTCGTCAGCTTCAACCGCTGCTAGTGGAATTGCTAGATTCCCAATTTCCAAGCGGAAATTTTCCTTCATCGCTCCCAGCTGGCTCGGACCGACTTGTACAATTCTGCCATGGTGGGCCAGGAATTGTGATATCGCTGCGCACGCTTTTGCCTTTCTTCCCTGAAGTGTCGGAGAGAATCGACCGGGCAATCAGGGCTGCTCAAGTCAATATTTGGGAGAAAGGCTTGCTCACTAAGGAACCTTGCATATGTCACGGGATTGCTGGAAATTCTCTCGCACTTGACAAAGATGATCAATATCTTCATTTCCTCTCTTTCATGGATAGCGAGAGGATCCAGAGGCTGTTGCAAGACTCGTCCCGTGACAATAGTACGGTAGGTCTATACACAGGCGAATCTGGGCGCGCTTGGTGTTGGGCTGTCGCACATAAGGGTCTTCCAAGGACTTGTATAGGATATAACGATATATAGTTTTCTTTTTTCCTATGTTTCTCCCCCCTTGAGCGGATAGACGCTAATCCTGTCCACACCTGGCCTCTAATGGGGTAGCAAAATCTCGAATTCCCGTACGAAGGACCTGATAGCAGGCTATATCGCTCAGTAAGCTGATAAGTTTTGTAATGAGCCTTTGTGGGTGATAGCACAAAAGTTACGATGTAGGCATGGTGGCTCTTTTTTGTTTCCCAATTGATTTCGAGTTTCAGACTGAATTTTCTGTAAGGCCATCTGTAGCACAGAAATGCTTATACACCTTGAGAATCAGAAGACATTAACCTGCGCTATGAATTAGCTGGGTTACTACTCATCTGGGACTCGGTCGTCAATCACTTGGAATTTGACGTACGCCGAAGCCGCTCTGACAATGTAGTTGCACTACTCAGTAACATCAAACTCGTCAATGACACTGGCTGGCTTGACAAACTTGCCTAGTGGCCTATAAGTCAAATTATCCATACCAAAACCCTTCGGTCCACCAATCTCAATACCCTTCTCCGACGTCCAGTGATCACTGGCTGTGATCCCTAACACTATGACTAGAAGTCCGTATCTATATTCTGGGGTCCCTATTGCCTCGCCATTGTGTGCATCAATGACCGTGATGAGGTCTGGTACGAGACCGAGGACATATTCATCTTTGTCATATGTCTTCCCACCAACTGTTGATCTTGACACCTTGACTGCGGCGATATTTTCGTTCTTGAAAGGTATTTTTAGGAAGCCTTGGAACCGAGAATTTGACGAATTCCGGCCTTCATCGGCCACATCTGCACCCTCTATCATTACTTCCCCATAGACATGACCTGTTCGTAAAGTCCGGGTTACGCCGACGATCTTGCCCTTCCACAGCACCTTTCCACCCTCAGAACCACCACACTCTGCGAGAATAGTTTCAGCAACATGGTCTATTTGGTTCGAGCGCCGGGCCCTCACAACGGCCCGTCCGATACGCCATGACTGTGAGATAGTATTCTCCACCACCCAGCGTTTACATTCCTCTCCGGAAATAGGGGCGTCTGCTGTGCCCACTGCGAGCGCAATAATTTATTAGTCGAAATCTACAGATCAACAACAGAGTCCAAAATACAATAGATAAGGACACTAAGCAAGCAGGCGAGAGAATATTGGTACAAACCTTGTGAGCCCATTTCACTTAGAGCTGCGCGACATATGCGCTCGACGTGAAAATCACTCGTCGCGCTAGGAATTACAATGACATTGCCATTCCCATCTGCCATCGCAACGGGGGCAAATATTGGTGAGCGTTCTCCAAACACAACTGGGGTCGTCTGCCACTTGGTTGGATACGCGCGACCCATCCAGTCGCCATCGATAGCGGGTATATCTAGGTTAGAGCTAGCACCGAGAAGCATGCTCTGCAAGCCGTTGTGCCCTCCTATCTCAACGGCGATCATGCTGTGCTCGAGTCAGTAACAAACAGACGAAGTATAAATTCGGCTCATGCTTCGGAACCATGCTGGAGCAACGAGAACCGAAGCCTGCCCAAGAGGCGATAACATAACTCTAGGGGACTGACTGTGACGCACGCTTCCCACAGGCCCTGAATAACGCCTCCTGTGCTTGCACCATCTCATCGCCTGCGAGCTTCTCAATCCCGACTGTTGGTGACCCGGCGGCGCCACCACACCCGACCACTGCATCGTCTATTGCACACGCTGGAGTTAGTGATTGATAGATAGGAAAAACATTTAATTCATGTTTCGGGAGCATGCAGAAGCAATGAGACCGGAAACCTGCCCAAAGGGGGGATATAAATGACTCTAGAGAACTAACCGGGTAAGTCGGCGGGACAGATGACACGAATCACCTCTCCCCGGCGCAACATCTCGCGGATATGAAGCATGGCAGAATGGGGGCTTCCACCACCGCCTGTCCCAAGAATATAGCACCCGATAGAGATCCAGTACAAGTCTGTCTCGTTGATGTACCAGGTGCGATTTCGGACAGTTGGCTTATAGCTGTTGATATCTACATCCTCCATAACCTTTTCCCGAGTTGTTGAAATTTTGCCAGAGACGTCATTGAAACTGTCGAATCTGACTATTTCAAGGTCTTCTTGTGGTGTGTCGTCAATCGTGGCATCTGGTAGGTCCGTTCGCGAGTAGTCGAAATTGCCAGCCGCTCGAACGATGAACCGCGATTTGTTAGAAATGTACTGGTGATTATCACATTAGAAGCTCTGATTTATGAATATGTATATAGCTGCAAAGCCAAGGATGTAAACTCACAGGCAGAGGGAATGTATCCATTTCGACAATCTTGGCAGTCGATTTCGAGGCGCCTATCACGACGGCTTTCATGATAGCATCCTTGCAAATCTCTTCGAGCAACTCACTCGTTGATTTAGACTCTGTTGATACCACCGTATCAAGTACGACGCCCACCCTTGTAATAGCGGCCCCAATTGCATTGGCAACGCCTGACCACTTCGGCTTAAGAACTCTGCTTGCCCCTTTCAGTTGATCCGGCGCGATGACGGCGCCACCAACAAGGAGGACAGTCAGGTTGTCAGGAGACGTCTTCATCGTATCGATTAGTTTCTCTAACCTGTGTTTTATTACAGATTTGAACTTCTTGAGGCCCTCGGCGTTGATTGCCCCCTTCGCTAGCTCTCTCTTACCGATCTCTAGATTTTTATCTGATAATACAGCGCAGTCAGTAGCAGTTAAAATAGTCCCACCGAATACGAGAGCGTCCTTCGTGATGTTGTAGCCGACACTATCGGGCCCAATTGTGCATGCCTCGCCGTCTCGGATGATTGATCCACCACCTACACCAATACTCTTTACATCGGGACACTTCAACCACTGGAATCAGTAATTACTCTTTCAGGTAAAAAGTTTCGGAAGTTCTGCATACTCGTGAGACACACTTGTGCCTTTGATAGGCAACTATACCCCCCGGGAGTAACTAGAACAGGAAGAAAATGACTCCAGTGGTTGCATACTGAAAAATTCATCCGGATGCCCCCCAGGTCGCTGTATGCAGCCTGCTGTCGCGGAAATCCGGTAGCAAGCAACAAACCGACATCGGTGGTCGTGCCACCGATGTCGACTACCATAACCTCTTCATCGACTTCGTCTTTCACTAGATACGCGGCTCCACGCATGCTGTTTGTTGGACCGCTAGAGAAGGCCCGGATTGGGAGCTTGGCTGCCATCTTCCCTGACAATATCGTGCCATCGTTCTGTGCGATGAACACGGGGCACTGGAGGCCCAACCGTCTATTCAAACCTCAACAGTTAATAATTGCGTCTGAAGGTAAACAAGAACGAGGCTTTCGAATGCTCAATACCACAGCAAATAGAGATGAGAAACGGGAAATGCTCAAGTGCACTGACTTGATGGGTTCCTGAAACGAGCGAATGGTTTTCCGTGCAAAGGCGAGTATTGACGCATTGAGAATAGCAGCATTTTCGCGCTCAAGAAAACCCAGATTGGCGACCTCTTTCGAGCAAACAACGTCGCACCCTGGGATTTCAGCCTTCACGAGCTCTGCTGCGCGTTCTTCCTGTCGCTCTACCGTATCAATAGGGCTGAAGATACCGTTAACGACGATACTCTTGATGCCTTTCTCACGAATCATTCGACACTCATTTCTGATCTGTATCTCATCAATATCTGAGATGAGGTGTCCGTCGACCTCCAGCCCACCCTTGAGCAAGGCATAGTGCCCGAGAACCATGCCGCGCAAATCCGCGGGCCAGTCAACACACGGTAACGCGTGTTGTGAAAAAGGGCCACATAGACGGAGGACGGCGACCTTGGACAGGCGAGCCGCGTCACGCTCGACGACGGCATTCACAAAATGTGTTGTGCCGATCGTGATGCTTGCTATCGTGTTCGGATCCACGTCGGCGTTCTTGAGCATGGCCACGATGGCATCATTAATGCCGACACTGGGATTTGGCGTCGTTGGCGCCTTGTGCCAGGCAATGATTCCCTTATCAGGCTCCGTGGCTCGCAAGGGGTCGAGGATCACGCCGTCTGTGTTTGTACCACCAACGTCAACTCCAATGCGGAGGGGTTTATTTTTTGGGACTGAGCCCATCCTGAATTGCTATTTTTCTTACAATAGTCCTATGACAATTGAAGACAGTTTTATAACAAAGGCTAGAATCAGGGCTTGGAAATGAAGCTGTTTAGAACACGATAATCTGCTAGCGCTGCTGAGCTACTAGTTTCCTTCCTGACACTGATGGCTGGATAGGATACTAAATATTGCTGCGGCCTTTGTTTCGGCTTCTGCTGGTCTCCATAGCCTGTGATATCCCTTGTCTAACTAAGTCTGTATAACCTCTTAAACATGAAGTTGCATGTTCTGCCGTACGCGCATGTAGCAGAGTTTTATCTTCTAAGGGTCGTAGATGAGTGACTTTTGAACATTCTACCCGATCCGCGATATTCGTGCTGCTATAGGATTGGAATATCCAGTAAAGCTACTTACGTAGTACGTGCTTATTCTCCTCGTTGGTGCGGGGATATCGAGAACTATCAAGTCAGGTTTCTTGGTGCTTGCACGTCTCGTGATTGATATGCTAGGGACGGTGGAGTAAATATGCAGTGCTGGAGGGGACTTGGCATGTTCCCATCAGGATAACTACTCGATTACGTTGGAGATGGCAAGGAGCTATCGCCAACTTGACTGCGCTCAAAAAGATTATTCAAAAGCGTTGCCGTTTCCCATCTTGATCGACTAGGGGTTTTAACTACGAAGGTGGGTATTGAAAAAGAAGTATCAAATGGGTCGCCTAAACATCAATACGGCGAGTTCAGCAGGGGAATCATATTGCTGCTTGTCAGAAATCCGAAGTGTTGAATCACGTAATTCTTCAAGTTGCTTTTAAAGATAACGACGTTCTTAGCAAAATAATCGGGGCTGCTACAGCATAGCGCCGTTACCTAGGTACATATTTAACAGGCGGCATACTACCTAATCGACCTACTAACAAATACTATCATAACACCGTATGTTCAAGCTGCATGGGACACGTATAAGGCGTATCCGGCAATCCCGGAATGGTGGGAAATTGGCCGCATATTTGGGGCCTCAGCAAGCATGGCCAGGTTACCGCAGAACCATCAGATGTGCTTGACAACCTGAAATACCTACCATACGCATCTGTGTAGTGTACCGTCTTGTCCTCCTGACACATAGCTAACCTCAGTACTAGTCTACCTTAGGTAGCAAATACGGTCCCTATATGTAGAGCTTCCACACAACAGAATTGCATTCAAGTAGACTGACGTATGGGTAACGAACAGGCGGGATTACCAATGAACACCTGGGCAGGCAATCTGCGCCCGCCGAGCCAGAGAATCCCATGACACCTACAGTAAAGTAGGTACCGAGGAAATGGATTTATGACATGCCAAGAGGGCTGACGCGTGCCGGTGCCGTACTGTACCAGTTTTAAATACGAAGCCCTAGAGAATCTGAGCTGCGCTGGGTGACATACATACCTAGTAGTACTCGTAAATCACACCAGCAGCACACTAGCACATCCAACTTGCCTCATTGGGAGAACGAATGATATACCTAGGGTACCTACTTATATAGGTATCTATGTGCATACAGTAGTACTTAAATAGTACCTGTACAGAGTGGGTCCAATAAAACACCACACACATGCCATTTAGGCCCTTTTCCCACCAAAACTCTACATATTTAAACAGGTCTACAATAGCTAATAAAAATAAGAAAAATATATAAAGTAAATAGAATTATTTAAAAATGCTTAAATTATATTATATATAAATTTTTATAAAATTTTTATTTAAAATAAATATTTTATTTATCTTTAAAGTTTAATAACTTATAGTTATTATATATATAACTAGTTATATTTTATCTATTTATTTTAATACCTTATATAGTTATATAGAAAAATTAAAAAAATATAAGATTGAAATATGCTATTCTCCAGAATACCTTCTATTCAATTTCCAACTTTTAGAATTATCTTGTATGATCTGGCTGTATGGCTAGCGCTGGAAGTTGTAGAGTTTTGGTGGAAAATGGCATGTGTGTGGTGTTTTGCTGGACCCACTCTGCCTGTAGGTAGGTACGTAGTAAACTCAGCAAGTGGAAAGTTACACACCTAGGTAGGGGAAGTAAGTACGCAGTACCTGCCCAGTCCCTGGAAAATCTGATTTTGGTAGCGTGCTCCAGCTAGCTAACCGTGCCTAGTAGGTACAGTACATAGTACATACAGTAGGTACATACAGTACAATACCTTAGCTAAGTGTTTAGTGCACATCATCATCCACCAGTCACGCTCCGTCCTTGTAAAACCTTCTCTCCTTCCCTTCTATTTCCATTTTCCCACGAGGCGATCCATCTCCACACCATCTGCAGTTCCGGGCCGTCCAGTTCCCTCCTCTCAACCACGCTCGTTTAACAACACATTTACTTTACCTCGCCGGCTACCGCATCGAACTGTACTGCACAGCGCTGCACCGCATTGCACCGCACCGCACCGCACCGCATCGCATCGCCGCGGCTGTGCTGCTGCATTGACAAGACGACGAAGAAAAGAAATAGGGGAACGCCTCCTTGCTGCTGGTTACCTAAACACCAAAACTCTTTCAATTCCTTACCTGCTTCTTGGCCGTACCATCGAGTTCGCTCGCACTGACAACCAGTCGACCTACCGATCAACTCGCGACACCTACCGGTATTCAATCGACTGTTATCCCATACCAATTCCTGTCCCATCCGCGAATCGAAGCAGACAGTCGGCGCCTATCTTCAACCAACGTGTGACCAACGCCGCTGACTAAGAGGACACCATCGGTTTTTGTTGTGCAGGATCATAGCATACCATCTTTTTGCCTCAAATCTTATCCAACCTTTCAAATTTAGAAACTATCTATTGCCCGAATTGGCCTCGTAATTTTCTTACCCCTTCCTTCACGTTAAATCCATCATGTGTATGTTGTTCCTTCCTTCAAGGCAAAAGCTCTCTCACGTGGAGGCAGTAATTGTTAACATCGTGTGCTTTAGCGACACCTTCTACTACGATAGTTCCCTTTGCGTCGCTGCCCTCATGTGCGGTGAATTGTGGCGCGCTCTACGATGCCAACGGCGCCTGCGTGCCTCCTGTTAACACCGCAACCGATGAAAGTAGCTGGGACTCGTGTTTCTGTGCTTATGACACCCTTCAGCCCTTGAAATCAGGAGCTAATGACGTCTGCAATGGTGCCTGTGCTGCCGATGCGCAGGGATTATCATCAATTCAGAGCTGGTTCACAAGTCTTTGCAACAACCAAGTAGCTACTACAGGTACTACTTCAGCGACAAGTTCGAGCACCGCTGGTAGCGGCAATTCCGGGAAAGGTAGCCAGGGCGGCGGTGGCAACTGGTGAGTTAATGGTTCCAAAGGTTTTTCGTTTCGCGTCTAATCACTGAAACTAGGGCCTCAACTCATGTCAACTGGATAGTTTTTATTGTTGTGGTTGTAGTAGCCATTGTTGGCATCTGGACCGGAGCTTGTATCTGGCGTCGCAAGTACCTGAAGAAGAAAGATCGATTATACGAGCTTGGAAAGGGCCTACCTAGCACCGTTGCTGTCAATACTCAGGGAAATCTTGTTGGCGCTCGGGAAAGCACAATCTCAAATGGGCCAGGCGTGTTCATGTCTGGATCTGGCGGTGCGGGCAGAAGGTCATAACCCGCCATCGTTGTGTGAGATATGTTTTATTTGGCCGGAATCTGTTCGGTGTCTGATGTTATTTGACTGATTTTTTATGGAGGGCGTCATCATTCTATTCTCCTTTCGAGATGAATATCAACGGCGTTCTGGTCTGCTAGGTCGGCAATCAATGAGGTATCATGTCCGAACATCATCCTCTTGCCTTTTCGGATGAAATGGGTGTTTTCTTTTTGGATATCCAACAGTTGTCAACAATGCGAAATGCACATTATTGGCCCAATGGATTTCTTGGCTCTTACCGGCTTTTAGTGGGATATAGGTGCATGGGAATTTTGGGGCATATTCATATGTGCTCTTGAGCTAAATGGAGACGAGTGGGCTGATCTTATAAGCTAGGTTATCGTCGTCAGTTCACCAGAAATAAGGAATGTTTCCTATGAAGTATCGCAAAGGTTAATAAGTCCCACTGCATATCATCATGTGGATTCACAAGGCTCATCGGACCCGTTAGACAGCAGTGGTTGTTATCAGGCTCCAGGGATGATTATGTCTCGTGGCCAGCCATAACATAACAAAGGATATAATAACTTGGTATTGCCATCTGTGTTTGATAATTGTCAGAATAGTGTACTTGCGAGCACTGAAGGCGGACGGCAACGCGCGTGGTGACATAACACTTAGAAGGCATTTTTGAGTATGCTCTATCTCAAAGCCCTGGATGGGACGATAAAAGAGGTTTGGGATGGACAAGAATGAGGCGCCATCGATGCCCCCGCTTGTAGTTGTAACCTAGACGACGGGATAGGCAGTTCTACCAATGTATGCTTATGTATGTCACGGGGTTGCATATACGAGGCCGGACAAGAATGGTTTCAGTTGGCTGGGTAGCGAAGTGAGTCTATCAAATCGAGGCGCGTTATATGATTCAAGTCATTATGGTGCTGCTTTCTAATTGAATGATTCATTGACCGTCGAGTTGCCTATCACGATACTTCCGTTTTTGACCATGACTAGCTGGGTTCGTTTGTCCTCTTCGCTCCTGGATATTTAGCAATGTCAACGCAGGGGAGAAGCATCTGATTTGCGCTGACCTGTCTTTGGAAGTTAAGGATGGGACGGGCGCTGCCTGTGCGCGTAGTTCTAGCATGCGTTGGTAGGTATCTGGCGGGCACTCGCCTCCTACCTATGTAGCGGATGAATGGTTTGATTGAGGGTTATTTCATATGGAATGTCGTTTCGTCGGATGCCTGGTTAGACACCTAACCTACCTACCTACCTACCTACCTACATACCGTGGGCATCTATCTACCTGGATACAACCCCCCAGGAATTATTCCTCTTTGGCTAAGTAGCTCCGCACCAAGTTTCACACAAGTGGTGTAAGGTATTCTCGAAATCCACATACACAGTAGGCCTTATTGGAAAAAGGCCTGTATGCACGCATGGTTGTCTGGGGCAGTACAAGCCTTGGTGTGATTTCCAGCGAGTTGTGGTGGAGTAGCCGTTTGAGATCAGTGGTCCTCTCATATCTCGGGATGTGGCGCAGGGATGACGCTACCTGGTAGTTTGTGTTTTATATGCCACCAATGTAGAGTACCGTACATAATTGACAAAGGCATCGCAGTAAGTAGGTATTCTAATCTACTATGTACTGTGTATATCTATGGGCATAAAGATATTTATACTCGCCAACCTGTATTTTAAGAATCTAGTCTAGAAAATAAGGGGGCATGCGAGCATGTTTTAAATTTGTAGCTGTTACCCATTTGACATTCATTGTGGTCTGCTCCTGACTCTAACGCTAGAGTGTAAATTGGGTAGCTGTTTCATGAAATCTGTTCATAATCTGGTAGTTCAGGCGATAGGGGTAGTTTCTGTAGGCTCGGCCTTACAGAGAGAGGAGCACACTCTTCGTTTGCGACCAATCCTCGAGGCCAGCAGCGCCGTTCTCATAACCTTGGCCGCTCTCTGTGATAAGTCAGTAAGGATCGAGTAAACTTGGTAAAAACCGAAAGGGTTGGAGCTAATAAGGGAGGGAAACGAACGTTTCCAGCCGCCAAATGGGCGAGCTTTGTCGTATGCCATAGCCGAGTTGACGGCCACCATCCCCGCTTGCAGGTTCTTGGTAAGTCGGAGCGCCCTGCCTAGATCTTTCGTGTGAACATAAGCCGCTAAACCGTACTCTGTGTCGTTGGCCATGTCTAGAACTTCTTGCTCGTCTTTAAATGTGACGATAGTCAGAACGGGCCCGAAGACCTCTTCCCTGAGTACCTTGGCTGACTTGGAGGGATTGATGAAAATGGTAGGCTGCACATAGCATCCCGTTTCCCCCACCGCCTCGCCACCGGTTAACAGTGTTGCCTCTTTCTTTCCCTCCTCAATGAATTTCATGACCACATCCTTTTGACGGTGGTTGAATAGCGGGGAAGTCATTGTTGTAGGGTTGAGTGGATCAGCGCCTAGAGCTGTTCCCATATACTCGACGATGCCTTTCATCCGCACGATCATTTCCTGGGCAACATCTTCGTGAACATACATGCGGGTGCCTAAGAGGCATCCCTGGCCGTTCAATGCTAAAAATGATGCTGACATTTTCGACGCCTTCTCGAGATCGGCGTCCTGGAATATAATTACCGGCGACTTTCCACCTAGCTCTAGTGTGACGTTCTTCAAGTTTGACTGGGCGGCTGCTTGCTGCACAAGCTTACCAACTTGAATGCTTCCCGTGAAGCTGATCATTCGAATCTTCATGTGGGAGGCTAACGCACTTCCAGATTCCGCGCCACCTGTTAAGACATTTATCACGCCGTCCGGAAAGCCAGCTTCTTTTGTTAAGCTAGCGATGAAGAGTGTGGACAGGGGATTCTGTTCGCTGGCCTTCAAAACTATTGCATTACCGGCTGCGACAGCAGGCGCCACTTTCATGGCGAATGTGAGAAGGGGCTCATTGAAAGGCGTAAGACCAGCGACTACACCAAACGGTTGTTTGATCACGTACTAGCCTGGTTAGTAATGCACAAAAAGAGGTGTTGAATTATGGACAGCCCATACCTCCAGTGTGCCGTCGTCATGTGGCGTTTGAACCTGACCGTGGAATTGCTGGATTATGTTACCGTAATCTAAGAAATAGTACATCAGCCAGGTAACTCCCCTCTATATGACATAGAAGAACACACTCACAAGTGAAGAGCTCCGCTACCTCGTTGATACCAAAGCCACCTATCCTTGGATCCTTTCCTATCAATACGGCTTCTAACCAGGCGAGCTGAGCTGAACTTTCACGGACCAAGCTAGCAAACTTGACCATGATATCTCTTTTCTGAGTCTAAGGTTTAGATCCCGCTTGTCAGTATCTGCCAGCATCCTACGAAACTATTGACGGAAAACTCCATACGTTGGGTATCTTGCCCCAAGCTGCGAGGCCGCTTTCCGCTGCAGCCACAGCCGTATCAACATCCTCAATAGAGGCCCACTGAAGATCTGATGCGCACACGCGTCAATTATATACGTGCGTTCCGCAGAAGCTGAGGTCGACATGAGGTTACGTTGTCAGGTCGAGCGACTTACCTGAGGTCAAGACTTCATCGTTGACAGATGAACGTAGCTCATGTTTCTCAGTGTTCTTGCAATCAATGTATTTTCCGCCGATGAAAGCCTGTGTGGGGATAGGGTATTTGGAGAAGTCGAGCGTAACAACACCAACCATGATGACTATGGCCTGACCTAGCAAAGAGAGGTGAGTGGGAATGATACAGAATCAGGTTAACAGCGCAATGGGGTAACCGGTCAAAACGCACTTTACCAGAGGAACTTGTGTATAGACTTGGGAATCCACCTCTATTAAAGCATGGGTTTTCAAGATGTGCGCCTGTGGTGCTTGGCTCCAACTTCTCCTCATCCGTCCAGCAGCCATTCCTCAGTCTAGTGGCCGTATAACGGCTACACTACACGAGGGGATGCATGCCGAGCGGGTTCGCCATGCGCGCTGCCGGGTAACTTACCTAGTAAAGATGACGGGACTCGGGAGTGTCAATATTGGACTCCGAATTACAGATGTATGTATGCCGGTCTAACTGTTATTGGGAGCTGGCCTGGGCAAAACAATGACTGTAGGTGCCGCTAATTCTAAACACAAGAAACATTCAAGAACAGCGAATCGCTAATATGGTCTGTACAAGCACGATAATGCGCCTCTTTGCAAAGAAACGGAAATGAGCAGGAATCGAGGTTATATATTGTCTTTCATGTTGGCATTTCTACAGACAATTCTGAATTGGTTATCCTTTCTAGCTGAGAGAATATACTACCTAGGTAGATCTCTCATATACCTTATACATTAATACCGACCACACGTATAGGTAAACTAACCTAGTAGGCACTTATCCATTGAGGGGTTGATTGACTTATTGTAATGTACAGTACGTCGCGGGTTATCTATCACTTTAGCTTCCATTTCAACTCCGCATACCTGCCAAGGCACTATTTTAATCCCTACAACCAATTAGAGCAGCTAAAATAATAGTTACTTCCATTCTTATACTAATTTTACCCGTGCCAGATGTAACTATAACTATTATTGTTATAAAGTGCTACATTATACTCTTTATAGTTAAATATTATTTAACTCCTTTTTTTAATATTAATATTATTATTTATTTTACTTAAAATAATACGTTTTTAACTATTAATTAAAAAGCCCTTATAAGCTTTATAATTGTCTTTTTACTTTTAATTAATTAATTTATAGCTTAAAGGTTTATTTTTAAAGCTATTTTTACTTAAAAAGCTATATTTTTTAACTTATAATTAATAGCTATATTTTTTAAATATAGCTTTAATAATAGCTTTTAAACTATAAATTAAACCTATTTTTATAATAAAAAGGTATTATAAAGTATTAATTAAAGAATAAATTAAAGAAATATACACTTTTTATAACTTTTATAAATTTTATAATTTTAAATATTATATATATATAATTAATTAATTATATTAATTTTAACTTTAAATTTATTATAATAATAAATAATTATAAATAAAGTAATTAATTTAATATTATTTTTATTAAAATAAACCCTTTTAAACTTTATATTAAGCTATTTTTTATAATTAAAAAGGTTATCTTTATAGCTTAAATAAACTATTAATAAAAATAAATAAATAATATTACCTTTATATAAAAATAGTTATAGATTATAATTAATAATAATAAGTACTTATATATTTTATATATATAAAGTTATTAAATAGTTTATTATATTTATATATATTTATTAATCTTAATAGTTATTATTATTTAACTTATAAATTATAATTATTTTTAACTTATAAAGGATTTAATTAAAGAGGGCTATTATATAATAATTCTCTTTTCTTCTTTATATTTAAATTAATATATAATTTTAATTATTATATAAAGCTTTATCTTTAAAAGTAAAGCCTTTATATAATAATTTAAATATTTCCTTTAATATAAAGGTATAAGGATTACCTTTTTAAATATTTCCTATTAATTATATAAAATTAAGTTAATATATAAATCATTTTATAATTAATTAGTTTTAATTTAAACCTACCTTTAAATTAAAAAAACTAAGCTATATTATATTAAGTTAGCTATAATATAAAATAATAATATATATATAGCTTAATAAAAGTATATTAAAAAAGAAGTTTAATTTTTATTAAATAATATTATTAATATATAGTTATAAGATAATAAAGAACGTTATATTAAATCTTAAAAATAATCTTTTAAAGTCTTAACGTTATTAAAACCTAATTATAAAAAGATTACCATTATAGGTTATAAAGATAAAGGTAAAGATTCCGCTTTTAAAAGAGTAATGCTATATTATTAAACTATTATTTTAAAACCTATATTTATTAATAAACATTATATTATTAATAATTTATAATATAAAAAAGAAGGTTAAATGTTAGTTAATAAATTAACGGAAAGCTATATTAAAGATAAAATTCCTATAATATTATTTATTATATTCTTTATAAAGTTAAAGGTAAAAATTCTTAATTTTAATAATATAATAAACTTTATAATATAAAAAAATATATTAAAACACTTTAAAAAGATATAGTAAAAGTTTAAGCTATAAACCTTTATAATAATAAACTATTAATAATAATTTTAAAATTTATATAAGTTATTAAAAAAGAATAAAACTATAATAAATATATTAATATTATAAATAAATAAATTAATAAATATTAATAAAAGTAAAATAATTTAACTTTATAATAATATATATAACTTATATATATTATTAAATAAATATTATAATAAAAATAAAATAAATAATAAATACTTAAAAGGGTTAATATATTTATAAATTAATTAATAAACCATTAATAAACTATTTAATAAATTAATAATTATTATTATTAAATATAATAAATTAAAAGCTTAAATTATTAAAATTAATTAATATATAATAAATTTAATTAATTAATGTTAAAGTACTTTAAGATCCACTTATATTAAAGAAGATACTTATAAGTTTATTAAAGTATTTATCTTTAAGTTTTATAATAATTTTATAAAAAATAATAATACCTTTAAGGTATAGTATTATAATATAAAAGGTTAATTAAAAATTAATTATAACTGGTTTATTATTAATTTAATTAAAATATAAAACATTGAAATATATTTAAATAGGTTAGCCTTTAAAGATTTATAACCTTACTTAAAGAGCTTTTATTTAAATTAAATTAAAACCTTTAAAGAGTTATTTAATTATTTATAAAAGATCTATTATAATATAAATATTAATAAAAAGATAAAGGTAAAATATTATAACTTATATATAAAAGATAGCTTTAAGAAGTTTAAGCTTAAAAAGTTTCCTACTTTTAAAAATAACTTTATATATTTAACTAATAAAATTAACCTTAATAAAGCTAAGTAAAAAGAGTACTTTAAAAATAAACTATTAATTTAATTAATAAATAAAATTATTTTTAAATATTTTAAAAATAATATTAATTTTAATATATATTATAAGTATTATATTTAAGTAATATATTATTTATATATAAATAATTAAAAGAAAAATGTAAATTATAAAAAGTGTTACGATTAGGGGTTTAGGGTATAGTTATATTAATGCTATAAACGAAGATTTTAAGCTAAAGAAGAAAGAAAGGAAAGATAAAACTAAAATATAAGCATATATAGAAATATATATATACCTATAGCTATTATAGGTTATATAACCTTATTAATATAAATTTTATATATTTTTATAATATCCCTTTATAGTATATATAATATTTCGGTATAGTATATATTTAATATATTTATTATACTTCCCTTTATTAAAATTAAAACATAGGTATAAAATGGGTTAAAAAATTACTTATAACGTTTAATTTTAATTACAATACTATTTTATATAGCAATATTATTATTAAAATAGTTAGTAATAAATTTATTAATTATTATAGCTTTTATCTATTTATTTAACTATTTAAATAGTTTTAATATATTAAGCTATCTTTTATAAAACTTTTATATTTTAATTAATAAATTTTTAAAATTCTTTACCAGGTATTAAATATTATTAAGGTTATAATCTTTTTAAATAATTTAATATTATAACGTTTTATTATACTTTATTATTTATAACTTAAATAACTATTTAACTTTTTATTCCAGTCCTTTTTTAATATTTTTAAGTTTTAATAATAATTAGGTTTATTAAAGTAATAGGTTTTTATTTACTTTATATAATTAATTTATATAAAATAGGTTAATTATTTTTATTAACTTTAAAAGGTTTAATATATAGTTATATTCTTTTTCTTTAAATATTTTAAAAGGTTTAACCTATTAAAAGTTTAATTAAATAGTTAAGCTATTAATTATAAAGCCTTTTTCTTTTAAAAAAACTTTATTTCCTTTATAAAAGTTTATTAAGCATTGCTTCTTATTTACCTATACCTTTTATCTCTTTTATATAGCTTTTATTACTTTATAAGCTGCTTTTTATATTTTATAGGTTTATTATATTAATTGTTAGGCTAGCCTTTTAAGTGCTGTTTTTTTAACGGTATTTAATAAGGGTAATAATAAAGGGTTCTTTACGTTAGTTCCTATTAGGACCTTTAATAGTACTATATTAATAGTTAAATATTAAAAGGTATTATATACGAAATTTAATATAAATAAATAAAGGCTTTAATTATTTTAATATTTATTAATATAAAGGTATAACTATTAATTTAGCTTTTAATTTATAAACTTTATAGCTTTTTATATTTAGGGGTAAAGGGTACTTTTATATTAATATTTAATATAGGTTAACTTATTAATCTTTATTAAAAAGTATAAAATAAAGGGTCCTATATTATTTAAAATTTATACCTTTAAAAAACTTAAAAAGCGGTAAATATATTTATAATATTAATATATTATATCTTTTATTATATTATTTTTTTTATTAAATATTATAATTAATAAGTAATTAAATCTATTAATAAATGCTTATATATAATTATAACTATATTTATTTAAAGGTATATCTTTTTTATTAATTATAATATAATACTAAATAATTATAAAAATTAATAATAAGTATAATAGTTTAAGTATTTTATTTTAAGGAATTTTATTCTATTAATAATTATAATAATTATAAATATATATTTAAATATTTTATTTTAATAAAGGCTAATAATAATTCTATTTAATTATTTTAATATATTTATTTTATTTAAGGTAAGTAGCAATTATTAAATGGTAGGCTTTTTTAATTAGGGCTATTTAAAAATAGATCTTTAAGTTAAAGGTTTATTTTAAAACAATTAATTAATAATCTTTATATCCTAAACCTTATTTTTCATTTTTTCGTTAAATTAAATTTATTAAGTTAAAGCTATATAGTACTATTGCCTCTTCTTTTATAATAAATATTAACCCTTTTAAAGCTTTAAATAAAATTAGGGGTATATTATATTCTTTAGTTTTATAAGCTTTAACAATTAATAGATTAATTATTTTATAAAATAATATATTTATTATTACGTTCTTTTAATTAAACTAATATTAAAAGGTAATATTAAAGTTAAATAAAAAGTTTACCTATTTTATTTATTTTATAAAAAGGACTCTTTTAATAGTAAAATATAATAAAGCTTAATAGTTAATTATTATAAAAAACTTTATATTTAATAGCTTTAAGTAATTATACTTTATAGTTTAAATTATAATTAATAGTTCTTTATTTTATATAGAATAAGC